ACGCATTATAGCTAACAAGGAGCACTGCGCATTTTTCCGAGACTAGTCTGAACTTGCATTGCAACAGCTATCCGTATCGAAACTTCTTGTGATTACCAAGTCATTTTCAGCTTTTAAAAGAAGCATGCGGTGTTCAAAATCAAAGAAAAAATATATATTTTGTCTTTTAAAAATTATTCGATCGGTATGTTGTAAAGAAGTACTTCTTAGAAAGTCGTTTTATTATTCAAACATTAATGTTTCTTTCAACCTGATTTATTAATTCTGCCGAGAGACCCGGCCAGTACAGTAGCTATAGCTAGCAGCTGGCAACAACAACCCCATGGGGCGAACTGCTTTGCAACCCATATTTATATCAGCAGTTCGGATTGATTCTGGATGAGCTAGAATACGATTGGTAACAATTAAATACTTAAGTTTTAGGGTGGATTGGTTTTAGTGGTGTGCAAAACTGCAATTTCTTACATATTTCATTATTTTTTTCGGAGCGCCGGTTCTCAAAAAACGAAACCGGGACCCGACGGCAACGGTCGGGTCCCGGTGTGATCGACCGTACCGACTCAAGCCTAGTAGACATACTACGGAAGTTTATTAGAGCAGAGCGTATTGGCAACTGGGCGTTGCACCTTGAAGCTGTATCAGAAATGTTGCCCTACCTGGCAGCCTCTGGGCACAACCTCTACACCAAATCAATCCACCTCTATGTGCAGCAAATGAGCAAGCTCAAGGATGAACATCCAGATGTGTACCAACGATTCGAAGAAGGGTTCAATGTTATCAGAAGAAGTGATCGCCTAGATCTCACCATCGAACAGGTCCTAATGAGGAGTATGAAGACCAGCAGTGGCCTGACGAAAGAGGCATGACAGAGCAACAGCGTCTCATATGGCTGCTCTCCATGCCTGCCTGTGCTGAAGTCAATAATGCCACGCAACAGCTCACAGGTGTCAACTATTACACTGGTGAACAAAACAAGGATATGACAAATGCTAGACAAGCACGTGACATGAAAGACACACATGCAGTTATCAGCTGTCTGAAAGAGAGAACACCCTTCAGCTCAGATCCGGGCTTGCGCAGCATTTCGACATAGGTACATGCAACCAGCAAAGTCAATGTGGATTCAGCAAAAACTGTTGGAACAGCAATCTTGACCAACATGGATGGACAAATTGCTGCTGACTACACATTCAAGAGGAAGGATCAGGCCATCACCTTTTTCCAGCGACTGACAATTGCTGCAAAAGCTACAGAGGCTCTACAGTCTGTGTTCAAATATGAGCTGTGCAGTTACCCACCAGCTCTGTTTGATTCCATACTGCTGCTCAGACAGCCACAGAAGCCAGTGCTAGCAGAAGCTATCTGGACACTCCTAACAAAGGATGCACCAGGAATCACAGGCCAAGTCCACTACCTGTTGGATGGTGGGGCACTAGTTCAGCGCATTCCATGGGCACGTGGCTCAACATACAAATGTATCTGCACGAAATACACAGAGTATGTCCCAAAGAAGTATGGACAGGCAACAGTTGTGTTTGATGGATATGATAGTACATCAGCAAAGGGCACCTGCAGCACACCAAAGACGTGCAAGAGGGAATGCTTGAGCAACGGTGACATTTGATGAAGATATGCAAGCTACAATGAAGAACAAGACAAATAAGCAGCACTTCATGGCATGCTCAGCACCAAACTATGGGCAAAGAACTGACAGACACATCATGCTGCAGGTAACGCTGGTCTCCTCATAGTGCAGAAAGCAGTGGAGTCTGCAGCCACCACTGATACTGTGCTGATCGAAGAGGACACCGATCTACTCATCCTGCTCATCTACCACACCAACCTCGACTCATGTGACCTATTCTTCCAACCCGAGCCAAAGAAGAATGTGAAAAAACCGCGTGTCTGGAACATGAAGTCTGTCAAACAGCAGTATAGGCCCCGATGTATCACAGCACATTTTCGTCATGCATGCTCTCCTGGGATGTGATACTTCTTCCCGCGTGCATGGCTTTGACAAGGGAGCTTCCCTTCACAAATTCAAAACCAGTGCGCACTTTCGTTAACAAGCAATTGCGTTTGACAGACCGACAGCGTCCACAGATGATGTTGTAGATGGAAGCAGGAGAGAAAGCCTTGGCATACCTGTACAATGGGAAGCCTGCAGAGTCACTCAACGTGGCGCGACATAAGCGGTTCTGCTAGAAGGTCGCCTCCAGCATTTCTCATGTGCAACCCCAAAGTCTACCGCCCACATCAGCAGCAGCGAAACACCACAGCTTTCGTGTCTACTACCAGGTCCGGCAGTGGAAGGGCATTGCAGCTGATGAGCTACGACCAGATGACTGGGGTTGGTGGGAAAGCAGTGGAGGAGTCGTGCCCGTACAGACGGACTTGCCACCAGCTCCGGAAGAGCTCCTCAAGATGATCTGCTGCAATTGCCAGACAGACTGCAGCAGTCTGAAGTGCACCTGCAAGAAGCAGAGTATAGAGTGCTCAGCTGCAAGTGGCAATTGTAGAGGGTCAGCATGCACGAACTCAACCCAAGTTGCATGTGAAAGTGATGACGATGAATAGACTTTTTGAGGAAGATTGATGGATCGAAGATGGTAGTCTGAGGCTATGGTAACTACATGCAGTATTATAATAATTATGACCTATTCATGTACGTTGTTCCATCAGGCATACAGCATGCCATGATACAGTTAACACATCCTCAGAATAATGCTTTTTGGTCAGGTTTAGCTTATTGAAATGTGTGTCATTGGATTCCTAGCCCAAGAAATGTACGTTTTGCACTAAAATTCTAAGCCTTTAGAAGCAGAAATATTGGGAATTATCAGGTTTATGGCAGCCATTTGGGAAAATGGCTGCCATTTCGGCTTTTTTGTCAGGTTTAGCTCATAGAAATGTGTTTCAAAGGATTCCTGGGCCCAGAAAATGTATATTTAGCAATGAAAATCAAAGCCCTAAGTCATTTACAATGTAGAAGCGAAGATATTGCAAAATATCAGGTTTATGGCGGCCATTTTGGAAATGGCTGCCGTTTCGGCTTTTTGGCTAGGTTTAGCTCATTAAAATTTAATTAATTTGATTCCTTGTCCCTGGAAATGTATGTTTAGCACTTAAAATCAAAACTCTATGTTATTTAGAAGCAGAGATATGGGAAATATTAGATTTACAACAAAAATATGTGTTTTATATCGGTTGCCAGGCATATTATTACCATAGCAACGGGAACTAAGCGATATTTATCATTAAAATAGGATGAAAATGCATCATTGGACATCATACTTCCTATAAAAGTAGTCATCTGCTTGGTGACAGCAATTTCTTGTGATATATTCTATTTCTCACGCCAATATGTTACCGTTGCTAAGGAGAAGATAGCCCTTAGCAACCAAATTTCCCATTTTGGCTCATAACAAAGTTTCAACTTTAGAGCGCTAGAGTAAAGTACCCGGTTTTCGGCCACTTAAGACAAAATCCTATTTATTGGACTCTTTACTTCCTATTGATTATCATTTCTTGTTCAAATCATGAAGCAAATATTATTATTATTTAAACAAAAAAAGAATCCCAAAAAAAAATCACGAATTGCCATGACAATATTCATTTCAATTTTCACTGTTTTGGAGCCGGTTATCGGCCGAGCGTTTCAGTTTACGGCCGCATGTACAAAGTCAATAGGAAGCGCTCGCGCGCGCCGTGCGTTTCTGCGCTGATGTATAGCACAAGCGGGCGGAGCAGGTATCCCACGCCGGAGCTCCCGGGTGCTCGCCTGACCGAATACAGGCACAGCGGTGATCGGAAGTTGGAATCTGAATTAGACAGACATATCGTGTGTGCGTCGCGGTGTGCGGCTGCATTGATTTAATACATGCGATGAGATACTTTTGAGCTTGCGACCAGCACAAAATCGGGCTCTATATCTGAAAAATACTTGAAATAAAGCTCATTTTATGGTACCCATATTTCTTACATACACGCGTAAGAAACTCGATTTTTCAGATTTGGGTAGCGGGACCGCCGATTACTTCGCTAAAATGTGATATTTTAGGATATATTTTTCATTGCAAATGTGGTTCTTCAGTGACACTGGCATGGTATGGTATGTGTGGGATATGTGTTATGCTATTATGCGATGTATTTTAAAGTGATTTTACCATGTATCCAACCAATTGGCCGAAAACCGGAGCTGACCGATTACCGGGTACTTTACTCTATAACTTTTTAGTTAGTAAAGCAATAAACTTGAAATTTAAATATGATATCAACCAGGATGCTGAACAGTTTTTCAGCAAGTTTCAAGTTGGTTAGCATAATAATCAAATAAATATGGAAAAATACGTATTTTGGCGCAATTCATATTTTTGAAAAAAATGGTAAAAAATCACATTTTTGGCTCAAAATTGGTAAGTAAATCATCCCAAAACCTATTGAATGAGGTATCACCTTGTAGGGAATTAAAATGTCTTTCATATGACACCATTCGCATGGTAAAATGAGGTGCTGTTAAAAAGTAATCCCCAGAGTTGTACAACGGTAGTTATACATGGCGGCCATTTTGAAAAATGGCCGCCATGGCACTTTCCCCCACCAGGATTCCTTAAGACTTTTGATATGTTATAGAGGACATATTTCTAGGTATAAAACAGTTGACAGACTTTCTGTTGCAATTAGTGGGAGGTTGACCCCTTTTTTTTCACGAAATGCCTGGACTACCCATCATACACAACTCAGTGCACAGTCCGTCCACGCTGGCACGCTACACATATCTGCACGGTACACAATCACTCACGTTCTTCGACAAATGACAATGCGACCGACTCAGTAATTTTATCAATTTCAATAAGCGATTACAATAAATTGACAATTCAGAATTAGTTAAATTTTGCTTATTTACATTGATGATTTGTGAGTTATCTACTACTGTGATTACAGTTGCTTCAAATATTGTCTAACTGACATTATAATGATCTGAATTCGAAGTTACTCACCAGTTAATGTGACGTTTGGCTTGAAAGAGGATAGTCTAAATTCCATCTCGTCCTAACTCAACTCAGACGTATACAAATCGGCACCCAAACAACACGAAAAGTTGTGGCGTGGTGTCTGGGCTTATCAAAGGTCAGTTTGAGAAACGCCCCCCTCTCAAAAAATGAAATTTTAAGAAACATAATTATATCATCTATAAATGCAAGCTTTGGAAGAAATTGCTTGAAATTAGGGGCGCGTTAATGATCGAGAGGAAAAGGGACACTTATTGAAAAGGATAAGACACCTTGATATAACAAAAGAAAATGAGTACGTGTCAAAGCACAGTGGGTAATTAGGTGAAAATGCCGGGGCACTTCATACACCTACAAAAAGAGCCACACAACAGGGTTGAAAAGGGACACGTATAAGAATGGGAAATGGGCATTTATCGACGGAAAAGGGGCACCCATCAGATTTTGATAGGGTCATTTATAAGAGGTGAAAATGCCAAGGGGCATTTACGAAAAGCCTGAGATAGGTTCCTTATTAGAAAGGGAAGGGGGCACTTATTGTTTAAAAGGAAATTATCATAGGGGCACTTATGAGACAAAGATGAAAAAACGGGCACTTAGGCCTATAATGAAGGAAAATGTGCTTTAGTTGAAAGAAAGGGGGCACCGATTAGATTTTGATAGGGGCAATTGTCAAATATTAAAAGGGTCATGATCGAGAAGGGGGAGGGGCGCTTAAAAGAAGGAAAGGAGTATCTGTTAGAAAGAAAAAGGGGCACTAAGTCTTGTCAAATTAAAAGGGGGCAGTTATTAGAGGTGAAAAGGTTCCTATCGGGGACGAAAAGAGCACTTATCAGGAGGGGAAGGGGCACTTGTCAAAGTAAAACGAGTATCTCTCAGATGTGAAAGGCAGTTATCGGGGTGAAAGGGGCACTTATCTGAAGTGAAAAGGAGTAACTTCTCGTACCTAAAAAGGGGCATTTACTATAGAGATTAAAAAAAGCGCTTATGAGAATAGAAAATGGACACTTATGGTTGACAAGGGGGCAGTGTGCATACTGTATATAAATTGCAATTAAAAATTCTTGTCCTATTTAGTCACTTTAGGCCCGGGCTTTAGGCCTAGTCCGTCAGTCTTTGACGGAAGGCTGAGAGGGGACATTGATTTGTACTGAATGGAAGAGCATTCCACGCCCTAACTTCATTGTTCATGATTGTGTTTTTTTTTGTTTTTTTGTTTTTTTTGTTATCCTGTTCGTACAGAATAATTTGATTTCATTGAAATAAAAGAAATAAAAGAATTAAAATTATTATAATAAAAATCCTAGTATCCCAATATTTCCGTTTATTGGGAAATTTAGATTCGGTTCCTCAGGAAGCCAAACAACAAGAAGAATATCAAAATCTTTGACATTCAGATGCCAACGGGCAAACTTGGCATTCCTAACCTGTGGACGTCTCTGCCAGTCCAAAATTGGCCTTATATTAGCCATCAGAGAACACATAGGAGACTCCAAAACCAAGAGTAGCATATAGCCGGGAGAAATATATCGTAACTATAGACTTCCTTGAAATCGAGACATTATAATCACCATCATCATCATTGTTAGTCAGTACCCAAAGCATTATTTTAATGGTTATACTTTATTTACTTTAGAAATTTTTTTACTCTTTATTTACCAATTCGCAATGGTTATTTATGATGACACGCACTTAGATAGCAATACGGTATTTAAGTACAAGTGTATTCAATTATAGAAGTTTCAGTCTTATATAATGCTAGTTATGTGATGAAAAGAAGTTTCGGGGGAGTTTAGTCAGTGGGGGAGTAATAGTGATAAAGAAAAGATGAATTATGTGCAACGTAGGAGAGAGGAGAGAGAGAGAGAGAGAGAGAGAGAGAGAGAGGGAGAGAAAGCAATGCATAATGGGGTATCAAACAGTTCGAGGGGGAGAGTGGGGGGGAGGGGTTCGCGTAATACGGTATTTAAAAGTGCCCCCATTTTTCAGATCTTGGCCTTAAACGTGATTATTATTTTCTTCAGGATTATCTCGCTGAAGGGGAAATTTTAAAAATTATATGTTTTCTGCCAAAATGACCCCGGTAAAAAAAGGGTATGGGTTTAGACGCTTGAACAGCTGCACACCTCCGTCCAAACCAAATATGAGTACCGCACCCCCCCCCCCATTCCCCTTTGGGAGGTTTGAATAGTGACAAATTCGAAACGGAGCACACTTTGGGGTTAATTAACTTGGGTTTTAAAAGGGGTACGGTCCCTGTCCTCCCTGAATCCGTCACTGTTTCTATATCATGTATCTTTTTGGATGTGAAATTGTCCCGGCCCCCCCACTCAGAGGTCGGAATGACCGCATGCGTGTTGCCAAAAAGTCCAGTAAAGCGTACTTTTCGTGCGACAAAGTCCGGCCCGAGAATTGTAAAAAAAGGGGTGTATTTGACTTTTCACCCGGAGATTTCTTTAAAAAGGGGGTATTTTTCTTTTTTTCTCTCATCTCTTTGGACTCCTGAGAAATTATTCTGAATTTAGGGGGGTACATTGAGCATTTTCCCTGATTTAGGGGGGTCTCCATGCAAGGAAGGAAAAGCCCGCGAAAAGCCCGCGAAAGGGGGGTTCGGAAATGTTGGCAGTCCTCAGATAGGGGGTGCTTTCAAAAAGAGGGTACGAGCATATGCGTACCCCAAATAACACTGAGTGGGGGGGCCGGGGAAATTGTATGACTTAGTGAATACTGAACTGAACGAATAAATTTATAAAAAATCGAGAGCAGTCTTTGAAAATCTGTGTAGAAGGGCGAATCAAATGTATTTTGAATTGAAATAGGACGAGTTCGCACTGGGTCGATTCTCCTTGTCATTGCATTGCAGTATTGTTTAGCATGTGCATGTAAACTGCATGTGCACGCTGCATAGCTGCGCATAGCGATACTGCGCACGCCTATTATTTCGGGGGTGTCTTCTCATATTCTAAGCAACTTGATGTGGAATAGATTATTATTTTCATTTACCTATGATGATATGAAAAAAATGGGAAATATATTTCTTTTTTTCTCTTATTTCAATTCAGATTTTTATGATAAAGCAATTAAATTATATAATATTATTTGCAACTATCTAGTTTTATTAAAAAAAATAATATATGATTGAAATTGGAATCAGGCTTATATGACACGCAACCCCGGTTACACAATTATAATCAACTGGCTAAAAACGCGAACCTTAAATTACGGGAAATTCAAGATTAAAGGAGGAAACTGATGCCAAAACCAAGGTATGTCAGGCGATATAACATATATTTACTTATTTTTTCATCGTTACAGTAATTTTGAGTATATGAAATGGTCAATTTTGCATCCCAGTAGATCTAAGTGCTGAGCTGAAACTGAGTAAAGACTGAGAGTGAGAGTGCTGTATGATGATGATGTGAATAAGGTCTCGGCGCGCGGCTCCTCGGCTCCCCCGGCCGCCGAGCGCTCCGCCTAAACTGAGTGATGGTTACCACACATATCTACCACACGAGTGATGGTTACCACACAGGTCAAGGAGCTTGGAGGGTTGTTTCATTTTGTGTGACCATTTTTAACCACTCCAGCAAAGCATAGAGAGTCTTAGACCGAATTTTCTGTCACTTTCGTTCGTTAAGCCTCTTATTTGGGTAGGGTCGGCTCTCTCTTTAGAGACGGAATTAAGCCGACTATCTATACGCATTCCCTTGCTAACACCAGGCAAGGCCATTTATGGCCATATTTTTATGCCCCGAAAATCCTCCCAAATGTCATTTTACCTTGTGCATGTATTAGGGTGTCTGATCGCGCACCCGATGTTGTGTGCTAAAATTCGGCTTAATTGCAGAATACCCTACCATATTGTTAGTCTTCATATATTAGCCGTAGATATAGATTGTGATTTTATTATTTGCGATAACGGTGATACAGGTATTGAAGATTGTATAATGCAAGTGTCTGAATTCATTTGGTGGATGAAAAGTTGAATTCTACGCCGTTTTGTGCGTCATTGCAGCGCTGAGTTTGGTGTGTTTGTCGCTAATTTGTGACAAATTTAGATGGCTTTCCTGATGGTATTTCATGCAAAATGTCTGTTATATTGATAAGCACTGATTCTTGTCCTTACCTTTGTCTTGATTATTGTCTGTTATAGTCATTTAATAGATGAATTACTTGAATTCTAAGCACATTCCAGTAACACAAAATGTCCAGCCCGTTCATAGTCCCACACACTTATTTGTTTGTACCTTGTGCCCTCTCTTACACTGCTAGTCTGCTTTCAAAGACCCTATTAGATATTTTAATCAACAAGTAATGTCTCGTTCTAAAAATACAAAAGAAAAATAATAGTTTTGTGCTTTTTTAATCAACAAGTGATGTCTCGTTCTAAAAATACAAAAGAAAAATAATAGTTTTGTGCTTATAATAGTGGAATGTCTCGTGCTAAAAATACAAAAGAAAAAATTAGTTTTGTGCTTAGACTAGACTAGTATTGGTGGGTGGTCGATGGTCGTTGGTCGTTGGCCTCTTTTTTAATATTTGTGAGTCCTTGGTCGATGGTCGTTGGTCGTTGGCTTCTTTTTTAATAGTGAGTCTTTGGTCGATGGTCGTTGGCTTCTTTTTTAATATTTGTGAGTCATTGGTCGATGGTCGTTGGTCGTTGGTCGTTGGTCGTTGGCTCTTTAAAACAAATAGACCCTATGCTTCACTATTTGGTCGATGGTCGTTGGTCTCTTTTTCTAATATTTGTCAGACTGTTGGTTGATGGTCGTTGGACTCTTCCATTCAATAGTATTTGGTCGATGGTCGTTGGTTTCAATTTCTAAGATATTTGTCAGACTGTTGGTCGATGGTCGTTGGTAGTTGGCTTCTAGTTCTAGTTCTAGATCCTATATTTCTATTTTTACCAGACTGTTGGTTCTAATTCTGTAAAACCGTGGTAGGGTATTCTGCAATTGTTCCTAAAATTCTTCCCATAGAGATTACACGCATCCCTATGCAGTCTACGTGCATTGCGCGACCATGCAAAAAAAGTCAATTTTTTTTTTTCAATTCGAGATTCAAACCTTTATCTGTTGTGATCCTGAAGGTGATAATCAATAAATGAGGTGTCATATGAAAGAGCAGGTGAATTCCAATATTTCCAAAGGGGCGTAGCCCCCGAAATTCTAAAAATATCTTGGTCAAAACAGCAATTGAAACATTGTGTCCTGGCTAACTCTGAGGTTTGTCACTTTTGAGATATGACGCCCCGATCGATAAGTAGTCCCAGTCCTAAGGAACAATTCTATGTGCTTATTTTTTCGCTAGCCCCCAGGGATCACAACTGATAACAGTTTAAAAATACCCTTCTCGCTATTTGGTGGATCTGCTAATTAGGGGGCGTGCGCTCCGCTCAGTCCAAACCATGGTTACATCGCGTAACATCTCCGCGTACGAACGAAACCCCAAATTCAAGTATGGGTGGCCATTCGCGGCATAGAACCCGGAAGTGAATACACGTTATAGTCAATGGCAATATCGCGGAGACATCTCCGCGATATTGCCATTGACTATAACGTGCATTCACTTCCGGGTTTTTTGTGCGACGAACGCCAACCATACTAGTCAATGGCACATGTCGCGGAGACAGCGTAGCTCAAGCTGCAAGTCGCGGATTGGCTTAGCAGCATGCGTACGATATGCATACGCTTGCATATCGCGCGATACAGCTGTTTGGCTAAATTTAGCAAAACAACATCACTCTGCGTGGACGTCTTTTTCGTCGATTTTGACCAAAATGATATGAATATACCAGAGTTTTGGAGGGGCTGTAACTTTTGATAGAAACATCGGTGAGACTTGAAATTTGAAATGTATTATTCTGATAACATTTTTTATTCAAATATCAAACAAAAATGGTGAAAAACGATCCCAAATTGAAAATTGAAAAATCGTTCAGACACCCTAATGTTATATTGTAAATTAGGCCGAGGCTATAATGAATCCGTTCCACTTACCAACGTGACTGAAATAATCTGTTTCATGGTCCCTTTTTAGGAAATTATGGGTCAAAATCGAAATCCATGTTGAAAATCTTGCAAGACGTAATTTAACTCTGGCTACGCATGACGTCATCTAAATCTCATCCCTTCTAGTCTACGCCGAAGGCAAAATGATTATGAAGGAAAAACTGTGCGCGAGCCACACGTTCGTAATGGCGTTATAATGGCGCTAAAAATAGGGTGTCTGATCGCGCACCCGATGTTGTGTGCTAAAATTCTTCCCATAGAGATTACACGCATCCCTATGCAGTCTTCGTGCATTGCGCGACCATGCAAAAAAAGTCAATTTTTTTTTTTCAAATCGAGATTCAAACCTTTATCTGTTGTGATCCTGAAGGTGATAATCAATGAATGAGGTGTCATATGAAAGAGCAGGTAAATTCCAATATTTCCAAACTCAATCTGCAAGTCGCGCATTGGCTTAGCAACATGCGTACTATATGCATACGCTTGCATATCGCGCGATACAGCTGTTTGTCTGAATTTAGCAAAACAACATCACTCTGCGTGGACGTCTTTTTCATCGATTTTGACCAAAATGATATGAATATACCAGCGTTTTGGAGGGGCTGTAACTTTTGATAGAAACATCGGTGAGACTTGAAATTTGAAATGTATTATTCTGATAACATTTTTTATTCAAATATCAAACAAAAATGGTGAAAAACGATCCCAAATTGAAAATTGAAAAATCGTTCAGACACCCTACTAAAAATAGCAGCGATATAGCGATTTAAACGTAGCCTTGTCTGTGCACTCGAAATTGATCGTGAATTAAGAGCACGGTGCCAAATCGATGCATCACAGATGCCCGGATTGTCACGTACCCATCAAATCCTACTATCAATTGCATGAACACCTATGGTATGGCTATGAAAAGTATGAGCATGCATGTGCATGAAAGACCAAATAAACTTAATGTAAATGTAATGCAGGCTATGGGCATAGTCATGCCCGTGGATGATGGATGCATTCAAATTTTTAAGAAGAAAGCATATCATTATGTTTCTCTATTTTTGTTTCTCCTAACTATTTACAGGTAAATAATTTGCAAAGACAAAGCTGAACATCGTTACATTGGCCATACTATCTCTGCTCCAGTCTATACGGGTAAACCGCAAGCAAGATGGGAGAAGAAGAGGATGGTTACGTCATAAGAGCCAGGGGTCTGCCCTGGAGCACCACCGCAGAGGAGGTGATGGATTTCTTTGAAGGTCAGTTAGACTTCTTCTTCTTCTTCTTCTTCGCTATAAGTACAGGCCACCGCCGGGTGTATTCTCGTACTGATGTACATGAGCAACAATTGACTCTCTATGATTATGCAATATAGCCAAACCTGTCTATAAAGGTCACACAAAGGAAAACAGGAAAACTTCCATTGTACATGAAGACATGTTCTAAAACACACATTTCATCCTAGAGGGAGACTCGCTTGACCACTATAGATAGAAGGTCTTTAAAGAGAGGTGGACTTTATAGAGAGGTGGTTACTAAGTCTGGTTTGACTGTATTCAGAGGATGGTCTTTCTATCTGAGTTCCCGTCCTCCTTTATTTCTGCTTGTGTACCCTTTGATGGATGGATGGATGATTGAATGAATGAATGAATACATGTAATCTAGATGAATCAATAAATACTTTACCTTGAATGAATACATGAGATATGTGGATGAATTAATTAATTGTTGAATGCCTGAGTGGGGGAGAGAGAAAGGGAGAGAGTGAGTGAATGGATGAATGAATGAATGAATGAATGAATGAATGAATGGATGAATGGGTAAATAAATGAAAGAAAACATGACTGAGTTAGGGAGGGAGTGATTGAATTAGTAAGTGAGTGATTGTGGTGGTGGTGGTTATTTTACCTGATTGCTAAGAAAGCATTAATGCTTGTAAGTAAACAACCAGACGGCCAACGGCTTTAGGTCCTTTCCGAGGGACCAGGTAATGAGGATTAATGCCTTACCAAAGAGCACTAGCGCATCACCTTGTTTTCGAACCCAGGTCACTGTATTACAAGACCACTGCTCTACTGACTGAGCTATCGCGCCTCTTAAATGAATGAATGAATAAATTAATGAATAAACATGAATAAAACAATATTGCCATGCCTCTGTTGCCCACCTCTCAGATTGCAACATCCTTGGTGCGCCAGACAGCATCAAGTTCATCTTCAACAGTTCCGGAAGACCTTCAGGAGAGTGCTTTGTGGAGTTTGACTCTGAAGGTGACTTTCAGCAGGCAATGAAGAAAGACAAGAACTATTTACAGAAGAGATACATAGAGCGTAAGTTGAAATAGTTTGTAATACCGTACAGATATGGACTGGTTGGGTGTGTAGCCTTCTAGCCTTCGATGTCTAACATGCGCCATAAAGAAAATGCAAACAATGGGTACGCTTAAGTGCAGAGAGTAGCTTGGATACGGTATGACACAATAATATACTCATTTGACCAGGTGGTCAATAGAACATTGCAAAATGACTGGGAATGATGCTAATCACGATTCTCGCATTGGATATCACGTGTCAAGCTTTTGACCAATCACAACTTTGTTATCTGTAAGAGCTTTCTATGTTTTGCAGCATATTAATACTTCATGGTACATGTAGTGTGCAATACTCAAAACAACATTTATCCTTTTTTTCATGTAGTATTCAAATCTAAGAGAAGTGAAATGGAATGGGTCACAAATCGCAACAGTGGCGGAGCAGACGGAGGCGAGGGTCTAGTCAAACTTAGAGGGCTTCCTTTCAGCTGTTCAAAGGAAGAGATCGCAGAGTTCTTCAGCGGTACGTATCAGAATGGATGAGCTAAGACCATAGATAGACCAAACCGGGTAGGGGGCCATTTTTTTTAGCGGTACCATCTAAATGCATGTGTCCTGCATTTATGTTGTGTTTGGTTCAAGCTGTTTGTAAACAGATATTTTTTTTCCCCCATCAAATGTTATTCAACAAAAAGCTGTTTAACTTCTTGCTTGGGCAAGTGCATTCAATTATCTCTGTCTTCAGAAAGCGACAACAGTGAAATAGGAATTTCCCGCTTAATTTTAATTCAAACAAACTTAGATTGAGGGCATAATTAATGGTTGGTGTCCAAAGAATTTTGATGGTCCACATTTTTAAAGCCTCTGGGAAACAATAGGTGAGGGAAAATCAAGTGTGCAGTTTTTATCCATGGTGAACATTAAAAAAAAAAATCTTTGCATTTCTAATGGTTTTGGCCAGAGTTACATGTATGTTAGCCGGATTACTTAAAAGGATGTCTTATTCTTGCTTTTCCGGTTCGGATATTAGAAAAGGGAAAATTTAACATTTCATGCAATCTTTTATGATGGTTACTTTGAATGTCATGTGGGGGAGAGAAAGGGATTAGATGGGTACATATTAGAGAGGGGGTTTAAGGTGCTGTCGTTGTTATTCACAAGTGATTCTGTTTCAAATTTCATGTGTATACATGTATATTTAATGATTTAAGCATTACCGGTAAAAGCAATAGGGACAAGGGTGGTGGGTTAGGCAGAGGAGGGAGTGTATGGGCTTTATTATTTTCTGGCACTTGAGCTCCAAATTCTGGGATGAAAAAGGAAAAAAGAATTGTATATGTCCTGCTGAGCAAAGCAACAATATTACAGTCTATGGACTTACATTTAGTTGGGGAAGGAGAAGAGGAAGGGTTTATATTGGTTTGACCCAGAAGCTTGGTACTTGTAGAAACTACAAAGGGGAAAGCAAAGTTTACCATGTTATTTGTTTGCGATGTCTAACGTTGTAACTGACCTGTGTCTGTCCATTCCTTGTGCCTTCTTCTCCCATTCCTTCTCCAACTTTGATATGGGTTGGTGTTGTCTGGGGCAACATACCGACTCTCTCTCTCCCACACAAACTCATCCGTGTACCCTGAATGGGGTTGGGCTCTCGTCCGCTTATTGGGTGTGGTGTTGGTATCTCTCCGGGGTCCTATCGACGGTCGACGCTCGGCAACGTTGGGGTTGGTGTTTTTTGCGATGATGATGATGGGATGGATGATGAACGCAGGGTTGACGATTCAAGCGAATGGGATTACACTGCCTTCGGACAACGATGGGCGCAGGACGGGAGAAGCCTTTGTGCTGTTTGCATCAAAGGAAATCGCTGAAAAGGCTTTAAAGAAACACAAGTCACATATGGGGCACAGGTGGGACTAGAAATGTAGTGGTATGGTATGGTTGGTACAATGATAGTTGTTCAATGTTTGATTTCCAACAAGTTAATTTTAATGGCATTTCTAAAATTTAGCACAATTGCTGACTGAAACCTGGGTCATGTCAGTCAGTAAACGTTTTTGGATAATTCATCAGAAAAGATCTGCATTCATAATTATTATAGTTTCAACAAAAATCAGTATTGCAATTTTTTCAATAGAATATAGATAAGTCATTTTCATAATTCATAACCCCTCATTAATAATTTTCAAGACTCAGACTAAATATGTACTTTTTTAAAGAAAGGAGATGTATGTTCCTTCAATGTCGTACATGTACATCTCGCTGTAGTTGAAGAAAGAACAAAGGATATATTTTGATCCAAGTTCGTAAACACTTGGATGCGATTGCTGTTTGGGGATTGGGACGTCAGAAATGGATTTTTTTCTGTAACAATCTGCATTGTCATGATCCTGAAAAGTGAAAGGGAAAACCTGAATTGTTATAAACAACAGTTAAGATATTTTTCGATTGCTTAGAAAGTTTATGACATTTTATAGAATGGTAGTAATCGTTTCACCAAATTCACTAGCAACCTTTGCATTCATGAACAAATTTATTCTTAATGAGTTTAATCGGGAAGAAAGCGCATTGGGTTCGATTTTCAGGACTGCAGTTAAACAATTTGTTTATTTCTTTTCATTTGTTATCGTGAGTGCTTTTTGAATTGTTTCTTTCAAAAAAAATAAAAGAGTCCGGATAGATTTATAGCATGATTGAACAGTTGAAGGATGACAAAATAATTAATTGTGAGTCCAAGCAGCTTTGCAGGCATTCAATGCTAAATAAGAAAAAGTAAAGAAAACATACAACCCTTAAAACTGCAATACATGCCAACTACAGATTTTTCTACTCTTGTTATTTTTTTATAGGCAATCTGTTCACGTAATATTGATGGAGCAAAATTGTATCAATTTAGCACAGTTTATGTTGTTTTATAAGAAAGAAGATGTGAAGTTAGTTTTATACATGTTTTTCAATAACCTACAGTGGCATAAAGTGTCTGCCTCATATAGATGCATCGAAATATCAAAACACATATAAAGACGAATTATATCAAAATAATTAAAATATCTTCAGATATGTATTGTTATAAATCATTTCGGTTGTTCTCTTATTGCCATCTGATGACGCGATCCAGAAACATTTCTTTAAATTAAAAATCAAGAAACTGAATTTTCTGGTCACAGTACTAAAATAGAAAATTCATCAAACAAAGGCATAGATAGTGATTGATATATTTTTTCTTGTAACACTCTGTACTTTTCTTGTCGCACTCTGTACTTATACACTAGGTCCTGGCTGTTGTTCTTTAAGTTCATATCCATATTGAAGCTGTACTAATATATGCAATGGGTATCACCTTAACACACAGGTACATCGAAGTCTTCAAAAGTTTCCCAGATGAGCTTCGGAGAGCTACCAACCCCACCCGAGGCGGGCGGGGCGGCATGAACCGACCTGGCCCCTATGACAGATACTCCGGTGGTCGAGGTGATGGCTTCTCTCGTGGTGGTCGGGGAAGGAACTCTGGCTTTGAGAGGCGATACGGGGGCGGCGGTGGAGGTAATGACTATGGAGCATCTTCTTTTTTTGTTTGTTTGTTTTACCTGAATGCTATGAAAACATGTGTATGCTTATAATTCAGCAACTTGGGGACTGATGGCTTAAAGTCCTCTCCAAAGTGATATTGAAGTGCCCATCAATAAAAACCCAGTTAGAATATTGAGCTTGCATGAATTTTGATTGACTTCCTGCCGGTCTGGGATCCTTGGTATTATTTCATTCGAGCACCACACTGTATGTAGTTTTAAGTGATACTACAGGGGTTTATGTCTATCACCACAGCAATTGTTCTCTTGCATCTACAAAGCAGTTGCTTCATTAGGCCTAAAAACAAGGTGTTGTATTGCCCTTTGAAATGTACGGACGGCTTTAAAAAAATAAAAATAAAAATGGCTTTTTTTTGTTACCGTTTTTTTAGAAGAAAAAAATTATTACAAAAATGAGAAATATCAGCACAAAGAGGTAGAAAAAAAGAAGATTTCCGATCGACCGACCCACCGACCGACTCATGTTTTGGCAATACAACATTTTTTTTTTTAAGGCCTTATCAAAGATAAACTGACATCTTCATGTCAAAGATTTACTTTGATACTTCACTCTTTCCAGGCTATGACGATGAGTTCAACTATGGGTTCGGAGGCTACGGCGGCGGCAGCGAGGGTGGATACGGAGGAGGAGGAGGAGGAGGGTTTGGAGGAGGAAGGAGTGGTCGAGGAGGGGGAGGAGGGGGAGGAGGATGGGGTGGAAACCCCCAACCCCTGTTCCCAAGAGGCAGAGGTAAGAGCTCTTCTATAAGAATTATGATAATATAATATATTATGCGGCAGCTTTGCAGGACGTTTTTAAGTGCTTTCCGATTACCAGCGGAACAAAATTAATGGGGTAGTGAGCTCAGGTAAACTGTAAAAGAACTCTCTGGTGATATAACAATAAAATTATAAAATACCTAAATATCACAGAGAGAAAATGGCAGTTTTGCCTTACCAAATCCTAAAAGAGCTTCTGAGAACAGAAAGTAACAGTATTTATCACTCTGGGCAACGTTTCATGAAACCGTTATAAGTACAAGTTCACCGACACCCCATTGAAACGCATGTTAAACTTCATACACGCATTTCAGTGGGATGTCGTTGAACTTGTACTTATGACGGTTTTGTGAAACACTGCCCAGGTCATCAAATCTAATAACATTTCGAGCAGCTGTTCACCTATTATGCGTGCACATGTATATGCCAGTCCATCCTTGATGATATTCACATCCTACCAGGTGTGTGATGAAGGTGTTATGATTTATGCTCTCATATTACCTGCTGGTACCGCAAGCATGTTTGTGCTCAATGGATGGATGGATGATTACTAATGTAGCCATGAGAATCTCCCCACGTTTCTGTGCTTTCCCGCTTTTTTGGGGCCAACAAAAAAATGTGAATTGCCAAAATTTTCTTGATCGTTTCCGTGATTTCTCGTTTTTTATTATTACACCCACAACCTGAACCCCCGTTTTACGCCTTGCCCACGGGTTGGCCGTTTGAACATATTTTTAAAGATATTTATAATTTCCAGTTTTTTTCCCAACAAACTCCATTCTCATGCCTGCTAATGTTGTTTATTATGTTTATAAATTTCTTGTTATGATAGTGATTAACATCATACATCACTAATAAACATCATTAATAAACAAAAATTGAATAATGTTTTCTACAATAATCAAATCCCAGGTGTTGGTAATTCTATTTGAAATATTCTTGAATTTGATTTGCAGGTGATTACAGACGAGGCGGAAGAGGAGGGGGAGGAGGTGGCAGAGGAGGTGACATGGGAGGAGGTGGAGATTTTATATCTGATACGGGCTATTCAGTTCACATGAGGGGGTTACCATTCAGCGTCACAGAGCAAGATATCAAAGAGGTAAGCTCATCAAGTCTATTCATCTCTCTACCAAGAGTGTAAAGTGATTAAAGCTTCAGTATGTTTACCCTGATTTTAGCTTAGTGGCTGGTTCTCCGACACATGCTCTGGCGACGATTGATCCTAGCTTTATTTTGTCTAAGATATCTTGTTCACGCTAAGGATACAATTGGTTTTCAGGTTAGCTTAAGGGTTATGGCTAGGTCTAGTGTTTGGTTTGGGTTAACAATTAGTTAAGAGTTTTAAGTGATCATCAATTATTGTCATGAGAGTTGAAAATATTTATAAATTCATTTCTGCGCCTCAGAATAGTGTACTGGATGAATAGGCATTTAGAAATTCTGTAAATATTATTATCATTATTATTACTATTACCTAATCCTCTCTGCTTCCAATAGAGGATTTTTTTTTTTTTTTTTTTTGGGGAGGGGGGGGGATGAACTAACTAAAATTTCCTTTTGCTGCAGCACTTTAATGTACTAATTGTACCGTAGCATCTGTTTTGTGACCACCATTTCATTTTCAAGCAGGAAACTGTTGATAAGTCATTTAGTTTAAAACATTAATATGCCACCCAGACCATCAATGTAACCTCTGTCTTATGTCGTCTTCCTCCCAGTTCTTCCATGGAAGTGCCACGCCCTCCAACGTCGTCATCCATGATATCAACGGCAAACGCAACGGTTTCGCCGCCGTCGACTTCCGAACTCACGACGAGGCCAAGGCAGCCATGAAGAAGGATAAGAACAACATCGGCAGCCGCTACATCGAGCTATTCCTTCATTCCAGTGAAGAAGAGGGAGGAGGAGGAGGAGGTGGTGGTGGTGGAAGAGGTTTCGGCTCCTCTGGAGGCGGGAGCGGCGGTGGTTACTCAGGTCAGTAGCAAATGGTAGTAAACTAGGTAGTAGATGTTACTGCATCCATACTTGAATTTATGAAAAGATTAAATCAATATTGATAGTAATAATGATGATGATGATGTTGATCATGATGAGGAGGATAGTTATAATGATGATAATGGATAATAATATGCCTTCTTTGTAGAGCGCAGATCACATTAATGAGAAAACACCCCAAGATGCTTTCAAAGGACTTTGGATATTATATAGATGGTAAATCCAGTGATTAATATATCTCATGAGCATCATGAAGTGATCTGTATCTATGCACATGTTCCTTCTAAACATGTGCCTTTTAAACAAAGTTTTCAATGATAATTATAATTCCAGGGTAACAAAAGTATGTGGGCTTTCTGTTGAGCTGATGACTACAGTATGTTCAGCAAAATGTACTACATATAGTTAAATATATATACATGTAGATGGTTAGTTGGTTTGTTTGTTTTACCTGACTGAAAAAAAAAGCATGTGTATGCTTGTAAGTAAGCAACTAGGCGAGCAAAGGAATTGGTAATGAGGCTTAATGCTGTGCCAAAGGGCACTATCGCATCGAATTGGTTTTGAACCCAGGACCACTGCTCTACCACTGAGCTATCCAGCTGCACATGCAGGAGACACTATGAACTTGACAGACAAAGAAAGAGGACAAAATATACAGTTCCTCATTCTACCCTCAACAATTGCTGTGGTAGACAAAGGAAAACACCTTCACTGCTATTATGTAAAAATGTGTAGAACAAGTGTCACATGCACATTTCTTTCTTTGTCCGTCATGTTCATAGTGAGAGGTTCTGTTTCCATGCTGTTGTAGGTTGTTGTGGTAGGGATGGGGTCGGTCATGGTGCCTGTACTCAAAGACATCTTGTTTCTTTGTCTGTTGTAGGTGGTTACAGTGGAAGGGGTCGTGGCGGTGGTGGTAGTAGTGGAGGTGGGGGCTACAGGGATTCCCAGATGGGTGGTTACAGCGGCGGTGGTGGTGGAAGTGGTGGTTATGGTAAGATGATTCACATGTAACTTGCCTCCTTGCCCTTTCAGTGTATCCCTTTTGCTTGTCTTCTCTCCTTATTTTGCTGTTATGTTTCATTAAAAGTATTTAGAAGTTATTGTATGCTTTAGATAAAACAGAAGCAGAAAATGTGATTTATCATGTGATGTACGTAAATTCTGTAATAGTTACTCAGTTAGCACTTGCATGTAGTATGGATACTGTATGTATTTCTAAAAGACTATGTTTTAACCCATTTCATGCAATAACATTTCAAATATTTAGCATGTCCCCTCCTAAAATACGGATGTATGCATGGAATAATGGTAGAAGTGTTCAATATTTCAAAAGTCTTCTTGCTTGTTTGCATGCATGTGTTGGTCAAGATTTTAATGATAGAAATGCATGTTTACAAAATTTGTGAAGTTAGCATATTTTAGAAGAGAGTATTGATACATTTTAGAGGCTGTCCATGAAAGCAATCAAATTTGATTCATAAATGTGAAACAATGTACTTTGGAATGCTTCCAGAATTACCAGTTAGTTTACTTTCTGTCACGTAAAGTAAAATTGTTTGTTCTTTCTTTTTTTCCTTCTTTCTCTCCCTTTTTCTCTCTCTTCCTTTTTTTTTTTTTTGGCTTCCTTCTTTCTTTCTCTCTATTTTTCTTTTTCGTTCTCTCTTTCTTTCCTTTCTTTCTTGGTGTATTTAGTTGAATCAATTTCATATCCACCTTCTGCTTATATCAGTTGCCAGCTGTGCTACTTTAATATCACATTCATTATATTTGTTTTCCCATCCTGATGAAAGTCATCATAATTATTCCATTTTTAGAACAAATAAATGAGAACAAGAAAGGAACAAGTTTTTACCAATAATAATAAATCTCTTACATAGAAGTCAATTTGTTTGCGCATTATGGAATATCACGCATGAAGTTGAACTGACAAGAAAAAAAAGTACTAGTAGTGTTTATCCGAAGTAAATTGCAACCTTTTCTGAAATTTAAATGGAAGGCAAGATGCTCTTTGTTCTTTGATTGTGGCAGACATATTTGAACAGAAACTTATAAATTAAATTCTAAAAAAAATCTTGGTCCATTGGAGCTCTTTTAAAATTTTGTTTGAACAGAAATGATTCACTTATATTGTAGGTGTTTTAATTTTTGTCTGTTTTAGGTTTTGTGGCACATATCATTCTATTGTGAAAATTTACACCATGCTAATGTAGTACTTATTCTTCTTCCAGACTTATTATAGTGCTTTCAAGGGCTATGTTCCTTTTTTTTTCCACTTGGAAATCATTCTATTTTGATTTCTATCTCGTCTTTTTTCAACAGGTGGTGGCGGCGGAGGTAGTGGAGGCTTCTACGGTTCAGGTGGCGGAGGAGGTGGTGGCAACAGCTATGGTGGGGGCTATTAGGACCCTGCCACACCCGATCTCATGCTCCCAGCAACATCACTTTCACATCTGTACCCCATACATGTATTATTTAATGGGGCACCGAATTCTCTGTGTTTAATGCAACTTCTGTAGTTAATTTACCCATCCACACTGTTAGGTTCCGTGCTGTAGATGATCTTGCAGTAGACATTATATCATGTTGTAATTTGAATATGTGTTGATATAAGATGCGGTATATTCAACACATACATAAACATTTAAACTTAGGAAACCCTGCAAAAATATATTTGGATTCATGTTATTAGCTGTCCAACATATCAGCATAGATATCGCCTTCACTCCTTTTGTAACTTTATTTTTCCCTTTTTAAAAAAAATAGCTTTTATAGGATTCATAGGCTGCAAGTAAGAATATTCGCTCATTATTAATATGCTTATAACAATTATGTTCTAGCAGTTTTTACTGGCATTCTTTACTAGTAAGTTTGTAATTTCAAATTATGTAATTGTTAATAATCTTACCAGTGAAACATGTTAAGAAATTCGAAAGTAAATGACTCATAGAAGAAAGGAGAGAGAGAGTAGACTCAGAAATTTTGCTAAATCCTTTGAAATTCAAAAAATTTTCTTTTTAATTCTAAAATTAATGCGTATATTGACTGTCTGGCCAAAGAGGTTTTTGGTTGTTTTTAACCATGTACAGAATATTTTATTTGTTTTTCTAACGTCTAGTCATTTCATATCTATAATTTATTTAACGTGCATTCACTCCAGTGCCACATGATCCAAGATCCACCCTTAAAAATATCCTGCAGTTTAGAGAGATATTATGCGCATGTATGTATGCATGTATTCATTCAATATTTTGGACAGATGATTCATAACATTATAAAACCCAAGTATTAATTCTGATGCTGTACTTTGAGCAAATAAGTGATGAAGGGAGATAAGTTTTTGACCGTGTCAAGAATAGTTTGTAAATATTTCTGCCTTTGAATGAATGTATTCTGACTCTCATTCTATGAATGCATCTTTAGATGACTTGTTTAAAGGTTGTTTTGGGGATGTGTATTCTAATTTGCATGGAGATCATGTTGTCCTTAATATTTTCATGTACATATATTATATGTCATTTGAAATTGTTGACTTGTGTCTCGTTTTGTATCGTTTTAATTTTGATAAAGTTGTGTTATCGTTGTCATTTACATCAGAAAAATTAATGGTGATAGTATGCATATTTGATCATTTAGTTTACTTATAATGGACATGTAATCTAACGATATTAACTATAAGTTGCACAAACAACATCGATTCAAATTGCCAATGAGCTGTACAAAATTATTGTCACTATTATATCTGTGATCTGTAATATATGATCACTAATTTGAGAGTTTGAGATGAAATAGTTGATAGATTGGTATATCACATATCGCGTTTAACCTGCCTAAGAGTAGGAATGCTGGGAAATAATACTGTCAAATTGTTACGCTAAGTTTGGAATGTCACAATTTTACAGTTAAAATTAAACTTTGTTCATATTCCTGTTCAATTAACAGTGTATTCTCAATCACCATTATGTTCCCAAAGATAAAAGTAGTTATGGACAGATTTTCAAAAGCTTTAAAATATATGGGCCATGTACAGTATGTATGTTTGAGAGTATGTTATATCCTTCTGTAAGGTATCAACTGAACTACCTTATTGAAAGTCAAATGTTCTAGCTATCTTTTACTGTATATTCATATGTACCAGTACAGTTCATATACATGCATCGTTAGTTCTGTTTCTACATCGAATCCAAGCAGCTTTGCTATGAAACACAGTCCACCGTCATGTGCATTTTTTCTCAATAGCAACATTTGCAGGTTAATACAGACCATTTTGTTGCATGCCTACGGCAACAAGAAGTGGCATTTTGCCAAATTGGCTGTAAAACTGTTTCACTCTTATTACATTTCGATTGGGGCCAAGTGATACCAGTAATTTGGAAAGTGCTGTGATAATTGTAAGCCACGATTGTGATCAGATACACCTACATGTGTTTCTTTCCATTGTGATGACATGTGCTACAACAGTCCGTGTTGTTCCCAGCTTCTTTGTAGATGCAACTGTCTGTTTTTTCTAAATAAACGCTCAGCCTTCAGACTGAATTCATTTTTGTATGAGCATTGCCTAATTGCCTTGAAGACCGTTGGGTAAGTTAGGAAGTGATCTGTTAATGTTGAATAGACGGTGTAGGTCAGTGGTTTGTATGGTGTTCTTGACTAGATCAAACATTAAAGAGATGATTTGGTTCTACAAAATCGAGGAATAGCAATGAATACAGACACGCTGCAGCTTTTTCTATTGCACTCATCGGAGTAAATCGCAAATCCGATTATGTTCATTCTTGAGATTTACTCTGATGAGTGCAAGATGAAAAGCTTTAGTATGTCTTGAAATCTAAGTTTGAACTCTCATGACAAAGCAACATCTTGGCAACTTAAAGGAGATGTCTGGATTCCCTCTTCAAACTGATCTGAATCTGAAATAGAGTGAAAGAAAGGAGAAAGACAAATGAAGAGTAGAGGGAAAGAGAGAGGGAGAGAGAGAGAGAGAGAGTGGGGGCTGTGAGATAGAGATAGGTAGAGACAAGAAAGAGAGGGACAGTTGGAGAGAAAGACAAGACAAGAGAGAGAGTAAGAGAGACAAAGAGGGGATTTGAATGATAAATATAAGATAATGTATCTACTTGGGACGTACAGGAGGGAAGAAATAATTTTAAAAAGCATCGATGTTGGTGTCTACCATGTTCGTTTTTTTTCCAACTTTTTTTTCTCGATCTTCCACTATTTCAATTCACTTCTGCATTGATCTCTCCTTGTTCTTTTCATTTCTGCTATTCTTGTTTCCTCTTTCTCTCTCTCTCTCCCCTTTTCTCTTGCCCTCCCTCCCTATTATTTGTCTCTTTCTCTTCTTCCCTGCAGTTTTCTATCCTTTGCTTTTTGACTACATACAATGTATTACATTTTAATAGTTTGGTTTTAGACGTAACAAAGCGCTCAAAGGTTTGCTTTGGGTCAATTTCAACTGTTACAAATTAATTTCAATTTTAAATAGAGGATATTATAAACATTTTAATAAAAATCTACAAATTAAAAATATGAAATATGAACTAATATGAGGTACTTTCATAACATTTTGGTTTCCTATCAACTATTTGTCTAATTTATGAAATACTGAATTTTATATATGTTTGTTACAAAATGACATTAAAGGCAGTATTTTGGTCATTCCATGACAAAGCTCTTTCAAATTCAATATTTTATGACTTTGATGAATGGTTGATAAGAAACTCTGCTGAATCTATATTGTGGAGCATCCACAAGCCTACTGTATAAATCTATATTCACATCATTAATTGTAGATTTTATTCAAGTACATGTGTATCTATAATTTCTTTTTCTTTTCAGAATTGAAAATTCTTTGGACATGTCATTCCATGAGAATTGGAATTGACCTCTGTCTCACAACAAGTCACAGTTTCAACTCGAAATGAAAAAGATTGCGGCGCATGTAGCACTGTAGTTTCCAAAATGGTCATTTATTTACAGGTTTCAAATTCAACTTACAAGAAAAGTAAACAACTAAATTTTACCCAGCCATTATTCACAGTAAAAATCTATCAATAATAATAAGCCAGGTAGGGGGAGCATTTCAAATAGGCTGGTTATCGATACATGTCTACACAAGGTCATAAAGGGTGCATGAAATGTTATGGGTCCCCATCACTTCAGGTTCCACTGTACGAGAACTATGTGGGAAAGTGTTCAGAAAGACAAATACAGAGAGGAAAATCTCAGAATCTCATACTTTAAATACACACCCCCCCCCCTCCCCCACCTCCTACCCTCCTGCAATGTGACTTGCATCTGCTCAGTATGTTAACATTTAAAACAAAAATTGTAGCAAGAATATCCACTCTCGACAATTCAGACAAAAATAATCTAAAAAAGGTACAACACATTTATACTGGCAAATCCTACCCGAAGAAAGTGTAAAGACCTGCACAAAGCACTGTCACAAGATGAAATTATCACCACAATAGGCGGTATTCATTACAAGCAAGTTTGTTAAAATAGGATTTGCCTGTACACGAGACAGAAATATCCATAAACGTAAACAGACAATGGAACACAAAGTTGAGAGACTGACTACACGAGTGATACTTTATCAGTTGCCTTCCAGAATAAAATTAAATTAAAATAAAGTGTAACTGGAAATATGGGAGACATACTGGTCTGTAGTCCTTTGTAGCTTGTTTGTGGTACAACGTACATACAGAAGGATGTCTAGTCTATGGAGGCTATACAATTTCATCCCATGCATCAGAATTGTATTAAAAGAGTGATTTCTATGTTTAAACTGAGGTAACTCAAGGTTTGAAGGGAAAGTCCACTCTTATACAAAGTTGGTTTTAATAAAAGCAGAAAATGACAGAAATAGATTGGCGAAAGTTGGAGGAAAATACAACAAACCATATGAAAGTTGTAATGATTGTCCTTGCTATCAGCAATTTTTCCCCATTAAATTTGTTATAAATAGAATGCAAGTTATCAAACTTTTATAATTTTCTGGTTTCGATTCAGGAATAGATCGATTTCAAAGAGGAGTAAATAATTTATTAATAAAATAATTTCTTGTTTCTTATACAAAACAAAGAAAAATCACAGAGTTACCATTTTTGTTAATCCATCAGAGATTTAAAACATCTTCATTGTATTATACTTTACTTGGATTTTCATCAACCTTTCATTTCCTGCTCTTATGAACACCAACTTGATTCTGGGTGGACTACCCCTTCAAAAACCCTTACGGTGTTAGACTTAGACAGAATACTAAGATTTAGAAGATGATTCCTCTACCCCTGTCCCCATCCTCTGTGGATCCTGGGAGGGGTAATGTACCGCTGGAGGCTTCCCGCTACCCTGCTGTGACCTGGGGGGTGGAGGCATGTTCGGGGGAGGGGGAAGGGGCATTCTGTGTCGCATGTGGGGCGGCATTGGGCCATCTCTCCTGCCCCCGAAGGGAGGGGGCGGAGGATACCGGGGCATCCTCGGGGGTGGTCCACCTGGAGGGGGAGGGGGGAACCTTCCCCTGTTGCCTGGGTGCATGTGGTGGGGAGGAGGGGGTAACCGAGGGGGTGGGGGCATACCCATGCCGTAGCCTGGAGGGGGTCTGAACTGAGCGTGGTGGGGGTGGGGCGGGTTGTTCATGGGAGGGGGAGGTAGCATGGGGGGAGGGAATGGTGCGTTGCCTTGGTCTTGGTTCATTTGTGGTGGATGTGGTAATACTGCAAGGGAAACAAGATAAGAAAACTGAATATTAAAAAACTTGTTAATGAAGCTAGGATTGAATAACTGGTCTAAAAACTCTGACGTTACATTAGAACCATAATAAAATTTCCAGCTATAGTACAAATAACTTTAAAGGCAGATGGTATGTCTAAACAGCTCCAAAAGATCTTCATACACACAGCATAGTTATATCCATTGATCTCTACGAAATAGTTGTATTTACATTTATTTTCAAATCACATGGAAGTGCTAACATGTACATTCTCTCGTTAACTAAGGTACAAATATGACAAAATAAACAACTCTACAAGAGGCTAAACCAACGATCACATCTGTTATCTCTTTGATATGTCATCATGTATGTGTCTGCGTGTCAAGTAAATGAATACTTTGATAACAAATTAAAAAGATTCATTCTATTCAGAATCTTGAATCAAGATCAAGTAGAAGCCTTTCTGTTATCATTATTCTGTTATCATTTGTAATTTTGTATTATGTGACTTAAAGCCTGTCTGAACCAGTTTGGCCCAGGGGGGATTAGACCACCCTGCATGGTCACTGACAGGTGGTTATCTCATAAAATCAGCTCTCAATTAACATAAGAAAAAGGGGATCACGGGGGACCAACAGGCACCGATTAGGCATTAATTGCTATATAGAGGGCACAAGTAGCTATAAGAAGTACAGTGTGACTTTAAGGCCTTTTAGCACTTACCTCCAGGCAGACCCGGTACAGGTTCATAGTTGAGCTCCTTCTCGCTGTCGTCCTCCTTCTTCCCTGACCCCAGCTGGGCTTGGGGCTTCCCCCATTTGATGTTTAACCTTCGACCTTTGATGATCAGCTTCTGGAAGGAGTTCTCTGCAGCTCCTTCGGCTCCTTGCCTGTTTGTGAAGGTGACGAAAGCACACTGCTGCTTGGGAACCACGTTGATGCTCCTCAGCTCACCAAATTGATAAAAGTGACCCCTGCAATGGAAGATTGAGAAGAATTGAATACTTAAATTGAAATCATCTAAAGAAATGTAAACCACTGCAACAACGAAAAAAGTTTTTTTTTAAATGTGCATGTAAATGTAACCTATGTGCAACAAAGGTCATACACATATTCACTTATCTCAGTGTTATAAGATACAGAAATGTGTAGACTATTCTACTTTACATCATCATTTTTTTAAATGGTGCAGTTTTGCAGCATCATATCTGAACGATGCTTTAAAGTGGATACTTACTTGAGGTCTTCCTCTGTGACTTTGTCCCCCAGGCCACCGACGTAGAGCGTTGTGATCATCCTATCCTCAGGAGCCTCTAGCTTAGGCATGGCCGCCGCTCGTCTCATCAGCTTGTCGGCTACGGGATCGTCCACTCCGTAGAAACGATCCTTGATGTTCTGATCAGCCAAGGGATCGTCTGGGTCTGTTGGCTTCTCATGCCTAGGATTACACAAAAACAAAACACAAGGTGATGAATTAACAAAGCAATGTATGAACAACAAAGCATTTACATGAATGAAATTAAAAAACAAGGGCTGAAATAAAGTATGGATGAGTAATTTTCTTCAACTATGCTATAGCCAACTTGTTTATCCACACATTTTTTAAATATTGCAAGATAGAATTGGGTTAACTGATATATCATGCATGAAATCCCATGTCTCACAATGAAAGAAATAGAAATGTATTTATTAATATTTCAGAGTTTGCAAGTTGCCCAAATTTTAATGACAACGTCAAAAACAAAAAAAAGTTGATGGAACGTACATTCCAACATTTTATTTCTCTAAACCGGTCATGAATATACTTTAATCGGGTAAAGTTTCAGTCTATAATAATTTCCAACACACAAAAACAAACTGGTCTAGTAAGGATCATCATCATCATCATCCTCCCTGGTTACCGCTTTTCACCTCCTCTTCCTTAATGCAATTTATCCACCTCTTCCTGAGCAATCCTACCTTTCTCCTTCCTTTCTCCTTTCTCTCTGCTGCCCATCTAATCAGTTCATCTTCATCTTTCCTCTCCACGTGTCCATACCATCTCAATCTGCTCTCTCTAATCTTCTCTCTTATCCCCATCAATTTTACTTCCTTTCGCACCTCATCATTTTGCCTCCTCTCCCTTTCTGCGACCCCTCTCACACCTCGATAAAGGATATGGAGCTTTAACCCTTTAGCAACTAAACCGCCCTTCCTTTTACTCACTGAACCGCCCGTCCGCTTTTATCCATTTTCAACACGCTTTCATATCCTTCAATGGGGTCTACCGTGATAATTTTATACATGCTTAATCCTTACAATGTCTAGAGTAGGATTCAGCATAGAAAAATAGCGCATGTTGTTCAGAACAATGTCAAAATGAGAGCAAAGTTGCAACATCCTCTAGTGAGTAATAGGCCATTTTTACATAATCTCTAGTCGCTAATGGGTTAAGATGAGGTTGTCAGCTTACCGGTACGGACACTCTTCTCCTCTCTTACACTCCCCCTTGACCCAGAAGGAGCATATATGAGGTCTGTTCCTTTTGTAGTATGGTGTGGTCCTAGCCAGCTTGAGTAGAAGATCGCTAGGGGCCTGGGCCTTCCCTACAGCACCTAGGGCTTGGTTACCTTCAGCATTGGCCAGCTGTGATATGATGACACAACAATGCAAATGTTAAATTTAAATATCAAAGACAGTAGTGAAGTATGATTAATCTTGGAAAATAAACCTGTTAATGGTTATACACAAATCAATATTGAATAACATAGCTTTGCTCATATAAGTTTGGATTCTGGAATATCATTCAATGAAGATGAGAGACTGAGAGACAGGAACTTCCATATTCAGCAAACTATATACACATAACTTAATAATATGATGGATCACTAAATGATCATGGGTCAGAACAAAATAATAGTTAGGTCTAAGTTTGATTACTTCCTACTCTAAATAAAGATTTCTTTTATCATGTAGTTCAAATTGCTTAGGGATTGAATTCATAGACACATATTCTGACTTTAGAATGTAGAATTATTATCATACAATTAAAAACTGAATTATTCATATCCCTTGTAAATTTGATGGTTTTTGTATTTTTTGTAACTCGAGAATGAAAGATGGATTATTTGAGCTAGGGCCTGTTGAATTCTTTTAGATGTCACATTTTCAAGACACATAAATCAGAACAAATCAATTTTTCACATACTTAAAAAAAACTACAAAACTTGGTAAAAGTATGAATAATGTAGTTGTCAACTACATGTGCTCTCACTGCATAGATATTACATGAGCACAAATCCCTTTCTCTACTGAACTGTAGAATGGATATGAAAACACAAACTAGCTGCCACTATCAGAAGAAACCCAAAGATGGAGTTGACATACCTCTCGCTCCATGTTCTGGGAGTAGTACTCCTTGTTGACATCAGATTTGGGCATTTCATCTTTGACATTGAGGGCAGCATCACGTACTTGGATTGGTAAACCTGATACAAAAATAGAAAAGGGTTGACATTTATAAAAAGTTCTAAATATAATCAGTGTTCTTAGTGGATTTTTATCAAAAGCCTGGAGCGCTCGTCCTGGACTAAACTGAATCACCTTGACTGGGTAATTTATTTCATCCATCCATTAATCATTCTTTAATTCATATTTACTTATTTATTTCTTTATCTATTTCTGTTAATTCATTTTATATTCTTTCCTTCTTTTCTGTTGTGGGGGGGGGGGGGGGGGGGAATTTTTTTGCATGAAATGATGCATTTGCAGTTTTTATATGCCCATGTTTTGATATTTTGGCCTTATCATCACCATATATGTGTTACGTTCTGGCTCTTTAAGCCGGGCTACATCACTTTTTTAAAATTTTATTTGTATGGTGGCTACATCACTTATCATTTGATTGATTTTATTTATTGATTTACTCCGCATCTTTATGAAGTTCAATACAAAAAAAAACTGGTCTAAAACAAAGCCATGAAAACAAAACCTGTAAAGAAACATTTAAAACAAAAATGCACAATTACAACTGACACTAAACGGAAGATAGATTACATGACTTCGCAACACTCACCATACTCAAGATCTAGCAGGCAAGTCTGGCAGACGTTCTTCAGTTTGCTACAAGTTTGGCAGACCTCCGTCTTCTTGAACCTCATCCGAGCCCCAGGACACCAGCGGAATATGGTGAAGGGACGCTGACATATCTTACACTCCCGCCCAAACTTCTCCTTGGTCTAAAAAAATAAAACATAATAATAATAATATTAATAATAATGATAGGAATTTCTATTGCGCCGTCTATCCAGAAATTCTATTCCTAGGCGCATTTATTATTACACCGGCTTTAGCCTAGCTGCCATCACAGCGCTCCAGCATTTCAAGGAAGTAATTCTTGCCAGGTATCCATTTACCTCACCTGGGTCGAGTGTGGTAAATGAAGATTAATGCCTTGCAGGGATGATTTTGCCATTATCAAACTCTAGTTGTGCTATGGTTTTGCTGCAAACAAATTACAATGACCAGGACACCATCGCACCATAGTGAAGGGATGCTGACATATCTTACACTCCCGCCCAAACTTCTTCTTGGTCTAGAAAAATAAAACATCAGGGATGATTTTGCCGTTATCAACTCTAGTTATGCTATGGTTTCGCTGCAAAAATTTTTCAATGACCAGGACACCATGAAGGGACGCTGACATATCTTACACTCCCGCCCGAACTTCTCCTTTGTCTACTTTGGATAATAAAATACAACGTCAGGGATGATTTTGTCGTTAGCAATCTATAGGTTCCTTCATACAAGTTATGGTGTTGCTGCTAACAAATAACAATGACAAAATGGCACTTTCCTCAATACCAATTACCTCAATATCAAGAAATATCGGAAAAATGGAAATCGATGACGGACTACCAGTACATGGAGTTTGCACTCGCCCATAAATTATTTCTTTTCTTCCCTTTTTACTTTTTTTTGGTCTAAATATGAACATATTACGGTAAGAAATACAACACAAAGATATATTAATTTGATTTGTAATTTTAGCAATGTAAGAACAACAGTTTTGACATACTTCACTAAGTTATTAATAAAAATATGACTGAAAGCAGATTTAGAGCAGAATGACATTTAAAATATGAACTTCAATTTCTCAACCTATTAAAATGCCTAATTTGGTATTCCCCCTAAATTTGGTATGAAGATGGTTGTTGTTGTTGTTGTTATAGAAAACCAATAACTTATCTGTTTTCATTGTTATAATCTGAGGATTAAATTCTCTACAACTTTGGCTTAAAGAAACATCTAAGAACATACTTTACTTGTTCTCTTGGGGTTGTACAACATAATAATAATAATAATAAATATGATGATGATGATGATGATGATGATGATGATGATACCCATTTACCTCACCTGAACTTGCCAAAGGACATATTCAAAATATCCTGAGACTTATCCACAGGACCACAACACCTCTACAAAAAGTGCCTACTTACCATACGAACATAGGGGTTATCACCGAGGCATGTTTGGCAGAGAATGGGGAAGTCCTGGAAAGAAAAATTGAAAGAGAGCAAAGGATTTAGATATGATTGTAGTCTGTAGATTCTGCATATATCTCTTACAATGACACAAGTAAATACATTCATGGATTAATCATAGTAAAGTTAGAGGAAAATGTGCATCCTTCATTGTCAGCCATGCATCACGCTCTTGGTGTTATTATCACTTAAATCGAGAAATGCTATAGGCAAATCCTACCCAGCAAGAAATAAGTTGGCTTTAAAGAATGGTTTGTAAGGCAAGCTGTATATTATATGATGAAGAAGAGATTTGATCATAAGAAGACTCCCCCATTTAACCTAGATTTTATATTCTAGTGGGGATTTCTTCATTTTTGGACAGGATTTCGACCTTGGATTATAACTGGATATATCAGGAGTAATATAATATATACTAATGGCCATTAAAGCTAAAGATCAGCTTGTGATTTCTGAGTGTTAAATTTGTAATTAAGTATTCAAGTAGGGGGTCTGATTGCGCACCCGATGTTGTGTGCTAAAATCCCTCCCATAGAGATTGCACGCATCCCTATGTGGTCTACGTGCGTTGTGCGACCATGCAAAATTGGTCAATGATTTTATGAAAAAATTTGAAATTCAAACCTTTATAACAAATGATCCTGAAGGTGAAATTCAATAAATGAGGTGTCATATGAAAGAACAGGTTTTTCTCCATATTCCCCATAGGGGGCCACTCCCAGAATTCTAAAAATATCTTGGTCAAAACAGCGATTGAAATGTTGTTTGCATCCTAGCTCCAAAATTTGCCACTTTCCTGAGCCGCGCCCCTGCGGCTTAAGTAGGGCTAGACGTAAGGATAATATCCAGGTGCTTTTTTTTTCGCTAGCCCAAAGGGATCATTTGGCCTAACAGTTTGAAAATACCCTTCCCACATTTTTGGAATCAGCTAATTAAGGAGGCGTGAGCTCCGCTCAGTCCAAACCATGGTTACATCGCGTAACATCTGCGCGTATAGTGAATGAAAGTATGGATAGCCGTTCGCACCATAAACCCCGGAAGTGAATACACGTTATCGTCAATGGCAATATCGCGGGGACAACGTGCACGTTGTCTCCGCGATATTCATACACTTAGTATGAAGCAGCGCTTCACAGAGATTGACGATAGATTTCCGGACATTTGAACGACTACTTGTATATATACACATGCACAGCACCTACAATCAGTACGAGAATACACTCGACGGTGGCCTGTACTTATAGCGAAGAAGAATTAGATCTAGTCTACTCTACTCTAGCCTAAATATTATTGATATTTTCTTAATCAAACGTTCTTCTAGCGGTTACCGTTTATGTGCCCATCCAATTCCAAGCATAATATTTCAAGACTTTATCTTAATTGATATTGGTAGAGTATACATTTTCTTCTAGTTTTATATTAATTTTATTACATTATTGACGGTTTATATGAACATTGTGAGCAATAAAGTGTGTCCACTTTCTTTTTCTGCCGAGTGTACCAACATGAACAACCAGACACAAATACATACGAATGGGGCAATACAAACTAAATATGACTCCACGGCATGGGGCTCAAGAATAGCACGAATCTCGGTCAATCCGACATCAAATCACACCAAATGAAAATATAAAGGTTAAGAAATGTTTGAATATCATCATATTAAACCTTAGGAACTATCGGTGCAATAAAATACTTACAGCCTCTTCCCAATTCAGTCGATTATACGTGTTTGCGCTTTTGCTCACCGCCATCACTTTTACATCTGAAGTTATCGATCAAAAAGAAACACAATTTGATGTTACGGTAGTGCATAATTATAGTCATCATCAACCACATCGTTCACTCTTTTACAGTCAAACCTGTTACTTACGATGGCCACCTTTCTATAAAGCCCACCTGTCCACAGTGGTCATGCATTTACAGGTTTGACTGTATGTTGTTATACGTCGGTATTAGGCAGTCGGTCTATTCATTCACTTTTTTAATTCAACTTTAATCACCGACTAAATTGTCTTTTCTAATATAAACTTATATTATGAAATGAATTGACCTCTCCCCCCCCCTATCTCTCTCTCTCCCGCCCTCTCTCTCTCTCTCTCTCTCTCTCTCTCTCTCTCTCTCTCTCTCTCTCTCTCTCTTTTTCTCTCTCTATACCCATATCTAAACTCAAAACTCATCTTTTCAAATTAGCACATGAATAGTATTTAAGGATAAGTAATGTTGTATTTTTTTTCTATTTGTAGGTACTTTATTGTTTTCTATGTTTCTGTTTCATCTTCCTTTCATGATCTTGTTATGTTTATTGTAAAGCGCATTGAAATGTCAACAGACATGAAATGCACTATATTAAAAAGAACAAAGTATTTGTATTATTATTACCCCTCTTCATTTCTACTGAAGTTTCATCTTCTCTTTCTTTCTTTCTCTCTCTAGCTCTCTCTCTCTCTCTGTGACTCTCTCCCTCTCTCTCTCTCTCTCTGGGTATTTCTCTCTCCCTTTCTCTCTCGATCTCTCTCTCTCATTGCACACTCTCCGAATAAATGTATGATCGTCTTTCTACTTTTGTTTTTGTAATGTCACGCTCATTATCATTTTTTTCAAACTTCCTTCCGCCTTCTTCTTTATTTACAGGTTGTTCAGGTTTTTAATGGACATGAACTAAACAGAGGCCTGTATTCATCCTCAATATTCTTTGACGAAATAGTTGTGCCTAGATTGTTTAATATTTATTTCAAGGTCATGTTTTACTTTAATTGCTCTAATTTAAATTCATTTTTTTTTTGGTGGAAATAACATCGTCATACTCTCTAAAAAAAATCGAGTGATCACGGACGTCACTCCTCTGGAGAGTGAAAATGTAGTGAAAATAGAGTGAATATTCACTCTTTTCTTCTTAGAGAGCACTCTAAAATCAACGATTTTCACCCCTAAACAAGTGATCACGGACGTCACTCCCAAGAAAGTGAAAATAGAGTGAAAATTCACTCTCTTTTTTTTAAGAGAGTAAGGTATAATGACATTTTGTTACAGATCATTAACAAACAAAAAGTAATCATAGCAGTTCTTGTTTTGTTTTCCACCTGTACAAAGTTTACACATTTTCTCCTCATACAGATATAACACATCTTATATATTAAACAATTTTACAAATAACTTTATCAACGTCTAGTTTCATTATGCACAAACTTGTCGAAATTCTCCTCTTACAGATAAAACATATCTTATATTCTAGTATTCAATACAAAATAACGTTATTATCGTCTTTTTTCATTATCTTTACGAATGTTTCGTTATTGTTCAAATATTTAAATTTCTTATCAATGATACTAATTTTCCAAGCAATATACTCTGGGGACTAAATAATGTACAAGCCATGGTTGTGTGATATTCATCTCCAACTTCCCCACTATTACAATCATTACAGGCACGTAAATGTGTTGGTAATATATTCGGGCGTATGCATTCCAATTTCAATGGGTAAATTATCTTATTCTAAATCGGCAAATATTTTTACGTAATTTATTACTTAAAAAAAACACGAAACTGTTGTTTTATGTTTTGCTTACATAATCTACATGTTCACAATTTACTTTTCTACTTTCCGTATACGTAATGCTTCATAAATTGAGAATCATATATTTCTCGAAGTTTCATTTTCTGTTTTCTCTCCGACTATATTATCGCTATCTATAATATTTTCTAATTCTAGACATTCATTATTTCCGTCAACATATAAATTAACTTTCTTTACTAAATAGACATCTAATAGATTTTGCTGAAATTTCTCTATTTTCTTGAAAAGAAGAATATACCAAAGAGTTTTCATCAGCAATTTTCGTGCGAGTCCAATATTTCATGAAATACTTACATAATATCGATTTTGATAGGACATTCACCAGCTTCAGCCAACACAGCTAATTTCTATTTTTTTTAAAGTTTACCCCTAAGATATTTCTTATCCATTGAAAATGAACACTTGACATGTTTATTTGCAGTAAGATATTATATATATATATATATATTATATAAACAGACCTGCAATGTACAAACTTGATACTAACGACTTATAATTAAGATCAGTTTACCAAGTTACTGATGCAATGTTGGAAAATTGTTTTATATTATAGATTTACTTAAATCATACATTTAACATTATTGTTATACACGTTATCTCTCGATCAACTTGAGCAATACTTTATTCGAATAAAAACATACCAGGCCTGAACAACGATTCAATAAAATCATTGTTCTTGATAACGTTTCTTTGATATAATATATGCCCCTCTTCGTGAAACCTCAAACCACTGCGTCCTGGGACATGCATGTACCTCTACATGGGTCTCGTCGTATTGTAGGCCTACATTTTTTTAATTGAACGGGCACTTGAACTAGGGGGTCCATTTATTGTGTAAAAGATTTTGGGGCATATTATCCAGAATGCTGGGATAAGCAACAACAACAACAACAACAAAATGAAGTAGAAAGGGCCATCAGATTTTAAGGGTTACCTTTCTACTCCAATAATTGATAGATAAAAACAATGCAATCGCATGACCAGAACTGGTCTATACCTTTAAGGTCAACAGCCCCAGGTCGAAATTCCAGTTGATACCAGTTGAAACCAGTAAGGATTTCCAACTGGTATCTACTGGTTTGAACTGGTCTCAACTGGTCTCAACTGGTCTCAACTAGTACCAGTTGATACCAGTTGATACAATTTGGAAACCAGTAGAAATACCAGTTGACATCTGAGACCAGTTGATATTGACAGTTGATTTACCAGTTGCTAGTAGATGATTACCAGTTGATTTCCCAGTTGAAAACCAGTAGATGATTACCAGTTCAAACCAGTAGATGGTTACCAGTTGATTTCCCAGTTGAAAACCAGTAGATGATTACCAGTTGATTTCCCAGTTAAACACCAGATGATTACCAGTTGAAAATCAGTAGATGATTACCAGGTCCAGTTGAAAACCAAAAGATGATTACCAGTTGAAAACCAGTAGATGATTACCAGTTGATTTCCCAGTTGAAAACCAGTAGATGATTACCAGTTGATTTACCAGTTGAAAACCAGCAAAATACCAGTTGATTTAACAGTTGAAAAACCAGTTCAAATGTGATAATGCACATTAATTTTGTGATTTTCTCCCCCACCCCCCTCCACCCTCCTGCGCGAAGCGCGGCAGCTTTGACACTTCATTAAATTATTAGAGAAAGAAGACGATTTGCTGCACCGTTCTCGACTGTAGTCTATAATCCTTGTCTGAATTTTGTTCCCCCCTCCCGCGCGGAGTACGGAAGCTTTGACGTTTCATTAAATTATTACTCTAAATCCTTGTCTGAATTCTTTTTCGCCCATCCCCCGCGAAGCGCGGAACCGTTCACCTATCATTAAATTATTGGAGAAAGAAGACGAATCGTTGTACCGTTCTCGACTCCTAATCCTAGTCTGACTTCAATTGCCCCCCTCCCGCATGATGCTTTGACGTTTCATTAAATTATTACTTTTAATATTTGTCTGAAGCTTGTCGCACCCCCACACCCCCTTTAGCCACGCCCCTGGGTGTTATCCATTATTCCTTTTAAAGAAATTCAATTCCTCATGCTCTCGCACTTCTCTTTTATCGTTGTTTAATTCTCTTTCATTGTTTCCCTTCTCTCCTTTAACTCACAAAAATTCTCTCTTTCCCCCTTTTTTCCATCTCTTTTTTTGTGTTCATCTTGTGCTTTTTTTGGGGGGGGGGGGGGGGAGGGGGCTATACGCCTGGCAAGAGGGACCCCGTTATTATGCACACTGCAAAAATGTCGTGCCCCCCGCCCCTTTCCCGGTAAAAAACAAAACAAAAACATCTTCTTATAGTATCATCCCCCTTTCTTTCTTTTCCCTTCTCATTATTCTCCTTTTCCCCCTTTTCTCTCCTCCGGCCTTCCCCCTTTCTTCCTTTTCCGCCTCTTCTCTCCTCTCTCTTCCCCTTACTTCCTTTCCCCCTCCTTTTTCTCAGCTCTTCCCTTAATTTTTTCTCTCCCCGCTTTTCTTCTTCTTTCTCTCTTCCCTTTCATTTCTTTCCCCTCCTTTGTCTCCTTGTCTCCCTTTTTCTTTTCCCCCTTACCCCCCTTTAGTACCGGGGGGGGGGGGGCACCGTGCCCCCTGTGCCCCTGAATCCGCCACAGAAACACACCAGGCAATGCTCATCAGGGCGCTCCTATATAGGCTATGTTTTCGGTGCTTACAGCATTTAATGACTACACCATGGGTTGAGAGAGGTAAATGCAGATTAGTTTCTTGCCATAAAAGGCAATACGAGACGTTTAAAGCCCCACTGTCCTACTTGTAGCTACTTGCTCCCTATATAGAAAACTACCCCAATCGGTGCCTATTGGTCCCCTATGATCCTCTAATTTCTTATGTTATTTGAGAGCTGAGTTGGTCTAATCCCTCCTAGCCACATAGTGTTGATAAGCTTTAAAGTCAATGGTGGTTTGAGATGGCGACGCCACCATGAATGTAAATATTAGAAAATGTCATAAAACAATAATTATTGTCATTTTAATTGTTTTCATAATGCATGAGTCATAATTCACCGAGGGTAGCCTCATCAGTATGTTCGCCCTGAGGGCCCCGCAATCGTATAATTACTCATCATAATTAACGTCACGCATGAGTGATATACCGGATGTACCAATAATACCGGTATTTTTATTCAATGATTTATTATAGGTAAAGGCGCCATTGTAATTGTGTACATACTGATTGTAATCAGCTAGCTACCATGCAACGCACGGCAGCGATAGGTCTTAGATTATCTGCACGTGTTTGTTACAGGGGATTTTCTGTAAGAAAGGCAACCGGGATCTGTTCTTCTATTTTTACAAGCTCCAAAGTCACTGCTGTCAACATGAATAGTGGAGGAAAACCTCGAGTTTATGTAACTCGTAGGATTCCCAAAGAGGGTCTTGATTTACTTTCGAAAGAGTGAGTATATGCAGGCTACTGAATCTTTACAAATTAGATTCGATCGATCGCGTTTTCTTCCACTTGCGCGTACGCGTGAGTGGTAGCGGTGCAGCACCTGTCGGTGATCGCACAGCACCGGCCGCCCTCCATGCCAGCTTATCGCTGAATGGTGGGGTTGATAAATGTCGAAGTCGAAAGTTTTACGTAGATATTTTATTAACATGAGGCTTTTGAGGTCATTTGACATTTTTGATCCATGACTTGTGGAATTCTGTTAAGTCTTGCACAATTAAATTAAATCTCAATAGATCTAACTACATGTCATCAAAGGCGCTGGCCTGGTTCAACTCAGAACAGAAGTAGGGAGGCCAATGCCCGGGCGTAAGGCTTCTACACCTACGATTTGTGCGCTCGTCGCCCACTTCAAAAAATTAGCAAAGGGAAAAAAATGATGTAAAAATAAAAATTGAAGAAAATATGAAAAGAAAATACAATTATACATTTCACAACATACCTATAATCACGGATCTGTAACAGTCTTTCACCATTTGTTGACAATCTTGCAGATTTTGACGTTTTTTAATCCAATAATTGTGGTTGCAGACGACCTTGACGCACTCGCACCACCGACTAAGAAAATCCTAGAGGGCGTAGAGGTTTGCTCACTTAAAACCTTCTCATTGGCAGAAGGTAGACCCTAAAAATATGGGATCCGTTTTGAGTAAAGAACTTTTGATAGAGATCAACATTTCAGATGTTCACAATTGCCACTTCTAACAACTAGAAAATATAAAGAAAAAAGATTATATCTTTTTAAATACAGATTTTTACAAACTGAACATTCGAAAGTAGATAGAGTACGATGTTTCTGTCAATCTTGCGTTGGTTTGAGCCCTATAGCTACATCCATCTCAAAATGAGAAGGAAAACAGTGAACAGTGACGTCATTGTTCGCGCCAAAAATAAAGGGTATTGCGACATAATCTGAGCTCCGGTCAGATCGTGCGCAAAGCGTAGTCTTATTTATAGACCCTAGTACCTTATTCTCACAGCACTAGATACGAGTGTCGTGCAGTAATGTATGAGAAGTGTTAAAAAAGATATTTCAGTAAAAAAAAAAGTCTACGTGAGCAGTCTATACTCCAATTGAGAATTGAAACGAAAGCCATGATTTGAAGGTGTGTTTTGTATGATACATGGTTAGTGAGTGTGTATGTTACGTATAGCGAAAGGGAGAGAGAGAGAGAGAGAGAGTGAGAGAAATATTAGTACACGTACGTTGCATGCATGGATGTGTGCTATGATTGTGTTCGCTGCAAGATGGATTTTAATTGGACCTCGTAACTTCTCGATCGTTGATAATAAGGAATACTCATGAGGAAATCAAATTATTGGAATACACATCTAAGGTAAATATCAATGAATTATATATATTTCTTTCCTTTTTTGAACCATCGTCTTCGGCTCGTAGTAGTAGAAGATGTAATCGTTCGCACATTGATGGCTGGACTTCAGCCTGCATCGGGGCTTGCCTGTGTCGGTGGAGGGATCAACTAAGAAGAAGAAGGTGTGTACGTGTGCGACCGATTCAAGGCTAGCCGCTGTTGAGTGATTGCACTTTCGCGCGAAGTTTTAAACTTCATCATGAACTTTGTCCCTCGGGCCTGTCTAATTATGAACGTAACTTTGCGACATGAAATATAATTGTTTCAAGGCTCTTACGTACGGAAAGGCGTAGAAGGAAATGGCTACAAACCAGCTGGATATCTCCTATTTGATGGAACCCATGGAGTCGGCAGATGGGTGGATTTTCTTAGTGAAAGTAAATGCTTTCTTTTAATCTTAGTTTTAGTATAAACAAATTAGTAATTAAAAAGTTAGATTTGGGCATTGGCCTCCCTAACAGAAGCCTAGAAATCTATCCAAAATTTGACCCACTAAAACATACCCAAAATAAAGTAAATATTCATCAAATGTTTAAATAAAGATCATGAGTTAAAATTCATTATGTATTATTACCTGTTTTGTGTCAATTTTCTTGCTATTTTTTGAGTTTTTTAAAAAAAAAACGTTGATATTAGTGTATTAGTGTATTGGTAATGGTATACACTTTTTCACAGGTTTCACGGCAAACTGCTACACAATACAAGTCAAGTACATACTAATGGTGGGTTGCGGGCGAGCGTGTGCCTGTATGAAGTTATCTACCGTAATGATCATAGGATCTGAGACATTACGGTAGATAACTTCACACAGGTGAGGTCGAGGGTTCGAATCCCAACACGGCACTAATATCCTTTGGTAAAATTAACCTGCACTTGCCACTCTCCACCCAGGTGTTAAATGTGTACCCGGTAGGATGCTACCTTCATTGTTGGTCAAACAGTTTATGAGCGTCAAGTAACGCCTGGCTGGAATGCTCCCCAGGGAGTGGAGATTGTGCACACTGTGTGTGCGGGAGAGTATTGAATCCAATGACTGGGTATAATAGTACATCTGTAAAGCACTTAGAGACATTTGTATTAAGCGCTATATAAAAACGGAATATTATTATTATTATTGATAGGTGTGAGGTTTCAATATGGGACTCTGATGATGCTGTCCCCCAAGATGTCCTTCTCAAGAACGTACCAGGCATCAGTGGTCTCTACTGCCTCCTCTCTGATCGTATTGATGGAGCCGTCATGGATGCCGCTGGACCGAGTCTAAAGGCCATCAGCACCCTCTCTGTCGGCTATGATCACATCAACCTGGACGAATGCAGGAAGAGGTGGGTAGAAGAATGGAGTTGACAGATTCTAAATACATCCAGGACCTACGTGCATGTAGTCTTGTAATTTGGTTTTTACAGATGTGTATCAGTCAGATATGACTATCGATGTCTGATGATTTACTTGTAATAACATCATATATATATCTACACTGGGGTCCGTCAGAGTTGGTTTGTTGGCAAAGAAAAAGATCTGACCCTTTATGTATTATGTACCTCTAAACCAACTTGCATTTAACTGTATTATCATAGTGTTTTTGTCATTAGTGAGGATAGGGTCCTGATAAGAGAAAAGCAAAAAAAAAAATGCTACCTGGTTTATTTTCCCACACGAAAATCTCAGAGGGATCAAAACTTAAGGATGTTTATACTTACCATTTACTTAACAATTACATTTAGAAAGCATTAAAATAAAACCAGTCTATATTAGCGAGGTTATTCCCCCACCCTCCACGACAGAAGAAAGAAAAGAACAACAAAATTCTAAATGGAATACTGTATGTGCATACACGTACATGTGTATTAGCAGCCACTTTTGCTCTCTTGCCTATCGAGTGGACGTACAAAAGAGGCAAATTGTTATCATATCTTGTTGGAAGATTTCCATTCTACAATTTAGGTTTCCCAAGCTTTCAGAGATAGATGAATACACTCTTTTAGACAGGGGTGCTTATAATTGTACAATTTTAATGAATGTTTGTATTTATCTTTCAGAGGGATCCGTATAGGTTACACCCCTGGCATTCTGACTGATGCTACGGCCGAGCTTACTGTAGGTCTCCTATTAACAACATCAAGGAGACTTGCTGAGGGAGTCACCAATGTCAAAAAGTAAGTCATAGTTACATTTATCTATATAATCTAGACTAGATGTAACAAATTTAGCACTGTTTGTCAAAACTCTTGTCTTTTTGTTTGTATATGACTGAAATACCTTTAAATCGGCTCTGGTAAAACATCTCAATCTAGATTTTTAAAATAGAAGTGTCTTGCAATTTCTAACTTGTATTTCTGTTGCTGTATTTATATTGAACTATAACTTATGTCATACTTCGATATTTTATGTATTAGTATTTACTGTGTAATTATGTATGCCATTTTACTGTCCATATCTGGGATGCAAACTTGTATGGGTTTTTCTAAACCTTGTTTTGTAACCCAAGACATGTATATATTTTTATATTGTCTGAATAAAATAAAATCAAATCAAATCAAACTATAAACAATAAGTTAGTCGAACAATTTTTTTTTAAAGTCTGAAGTTGGTCATTCAAGAATAACATGATGAATCATTTAATATTTTGGCTCTTGAGCAAATATTGGGTGATCCTATCAAGGGCAATTTATATTTAGCTTTGTAGGACAAATTTGCTCTCTATTTCTTTCATTTTGTATTATTTTCATTATTGATTAATTGTAGTGGAGGTTGGGGTACATGGAAGCCCATGTGGCTCACAGGCCCAGGTCTTCTCAACAGCACAGTGGGTCTCGTTGGACTAGGCAGGATAGGCATGGCAATCGCCCAGCGTCTCAAGCCGTTCGGAGTCAAGAGGTTCCTCTACAGCGGCAACAGCAAGAAAGCTGAAGCAGATAGCCTGCCGGCTGAATTTGGTAAGTCAATCATGGAGGTTGCGGTCTAAAAATAACCCAGCAATCAGTTTTCTCAGGCTAGCAGAATACCTTCAGCTTGCTTCCAACTTACCCAGATTTAACCCTAAAATCCTTGTAACCTTAACCCTTTAAAGCCTATCTGCACTAGTTTGGCCAGGAGGGATTAGACCTCCCTGCCTGGTCACCATCAAATCAGCTCTCAATTAACATAAGGAAAAAGGGACCAGTGGTCCCTGCTTAGGCATTGTTTGCTATTTAGAGGGCAGAAGTAGCTATAAGTAGTGCAGTGGGGCTTTAAGATCGGTTCAAGTGAAATCACAACTCTTACACCAATCTTTACTTTGTGATTAGGATTATAAATTTAAATCCATTGAATTTCAGATGAACTATAAAGTGTGCAGACATTGTACGTTTATGTGGCACTTTTCAGTTCATGTTGCCGAACTTCTAGAAATAGGTCCCATGGAGAGTTTTATATATACCAGCATGTCTTATGAAAAGAGAATTGAAAAATAAAACTGCCAGCAAATGTAGAATGAACTCAGTAGCATTTGACTATGTGTATTCACAGTGTAAGTGGCAAGACTTTTAACTCTCACTGAGAGCAGTTGTATAACCTGATGCTAGAGTATATAGTTAGTATAATTTTCAGATTGGATACTAATTGTTAGGAAACACAATTTTGATTTTCTCATATTCATTGTAAAATATCTTTTTTATATCACTTTTTTTTAGTACCGGTTTACAAAATTTGACCTACAGTTGTACAGCAAAGGGTCAGCGTACTAATAAGTGAATACTGTTTTGCGAGATAAACACATGCACATTGTATAAATGTACAAAGTACATTTTTGCTGTCATAAAATGACTTGTGAACTCCCACATTTGTTTTCTCTGTAAGGGATTCCAAAGTACTCACTATACTCTTTTGAGATAATTATAATTTTCATGGGAATAATGCAAGAAATATCTGACTTGGTTTGAATGTTGTGATTGTTCATATATTTATTTCATTGTCAATTTATGATGTGTTAACTTTTTATACGATACACCAATAATACAGGTGCCATGTTGTATAAATAATCATGGGATAGATAGACCAAAGGATTCAAGATTATTCAACTATTTCCAGTGCAAGCTCAATTTAAACCAGTGTTGAATGGGTTTTCATAGAGCTAATCAAGACAGGAAATTGATTATTTTGCAAAGATATTTTGTTGCACAAAGCAATCCTTTAGTCGATAGGTGCCTGTTGTTTTGTGCATAATTGCACGTGTGGAAAATGAGCAACCGTGCAGAGGGGTGAGGAAAGCAGCCGAAGTGTTACTGCATACAAAAAGGTATGACCTTTTTAATGATGTGTACGATATGAATGATGTACATTGTTCTCTTTTGTTTTTGCACAGTTCCCTTTGAGACCCTAGTGAAGGAGTCTGGTTTCGTGGTGGTCAGTTGCTCCCTCAACGCTCAGACCAAAGGGCTCTTCAACAAAAAGGTCTTTGAGATGATGAGCTCCAATGCCATCTTTGTCAACATTAGCAGGTGAGAGTAGAGGGGTTAATACACTGCCAGGAATTTGGTTTATTAAAGCCCCACCTCACTACTTATAGCTACTTGCGTCCTCTATGTAGCAAATAATGGCTTATCGGTGACCATTGGGCCCCCATGATCCTCTTTCTCTCACATTAATTGATAGCTGATTTGATGAGATAACCACCTGTCAGTAACCTTCCAGAGAGGTCTAATCCCTCCTGTCCAAACCAGTGCAGTCAGGCTTTAAATAGACTACCAAGAACTTGACTTCTTAAAATGCTAGAGCGCTGTAATGGCCGCCATTCTAAAGCCGGGTAATAATAATAGAGCACTGGGAGTGGCAATGTGCTAGACATGAGCACTGATTATGATTACTATTGCTATTATTATTATGAAAGTACGAAGTCTAGATATGTGGTAACAAGATTCATCTAGATTTGCACTGGAGTTCCACTATCATTTTTATTGCTATTGCTATTATTATTATGATATGAAAGGTACCATTGTCAAGATATGTGGTAACAAGATTCATCTAGATTTACACTGGATGGCGGTTCCATTCCATTTAGTTCGCTTGTCAGAATGTGATGATGATGTGTATCAAAACATGTTCTTCTTTCTGCTGGCAGTGACAGTTGACCAATATCAATGGGCCTAATGCAAGTGGCATATCTGGGCCTTTATAGACTACAGATGAATGAGATGTATATACATGTAATATGTTTGATGAGGAGAATCTGATTGATAGACCAATAGGTTGAACATATCCTCATGTATTCCCACATGTGCATATTTGTGTTGGTGCTTTTCAGTGCATGCAAGTGATCTTCAGCAAGTTTTAGTAAATTTATTCATATTTTACTTGTTGAAACAAATCTGACTGTTACTGCTGTAGACAATTCAGAACAATTCAAGCCCTAAATACCCCCTTAGTATGCTAGACAAACCACAGCCCAAGAACTTTATATGAAGATTAAATGGGGACCTCCATGATAATTATCCATATTCATGTTATAATTGATTTATTGAGAATCCAGATTAGACCATGCAATTCTAACTTCTCTTCTTTTTAAAAATTGTCTCTTTTTTTTCATTTGATGGTGGTTGCAGAGGAGCTGTTGTGAATCAGGATGACCTCCACGAGGCTTTGACCACTGGTCAGATCAGAGGAGCTGGTCTTGATGTGACCACCCCAGAACCTCTACCCACTGACCACCCACTCCTCAAACTCGATAACTGTGGTAAGTAGCCTACACAGTTGTATCCACTCATACATAGTTCCATGTGGGAGTGTTCATATATGCAATGTTATATACACATGAGCCTATTGCAAGAAGGCTGTCCACTCTTGTCCAGTTCAACTCAAAGAAGTTCAGAGTTTTCTAATGGCCTAAATGAATCAGCCTTTCTTTCTCAAATTGGCAAGTTATTTGTATTTTACACTCTTTCATAGTTACAAAATAAAAAAATGTATAATAAAAGAGATAATATGAATGAAAATCACAAAATAATGAACAAGAAATGGCCAATTTAGAGACTATAATGATGATATTCAATTAAATTGCTCTTATTCGTGAAAGGTACAAAATATTTAGACGTTTGGACTAGATTTAAAAAAAAAAAGTTTCTGCTCATTTATAAATTGTAATTTAGAGCATTCGTGATCAAATATAAAAGTAAGGCATCACCAAAAGGTGACACTAAACTGCTGGTTAATGGGAATGTGTTACGCTGACAGTGTTGAGCTTAGTGTCATACACGCACCTGTTTCTCTAAATTTAGAAAGGGCAAGATCAAAACCTTGTGCTCTGGAAGGTTATAATTAAATTCCAGTTTCTATCAATTTGGAAAGGGCAAGACTGAAAATCTAGCGCCATACAAATTCAAATATCATGTTTCTCTTATTTTGCAATGGGCAAGATTGAACCTTAATCCTTTGCAATTTTATTTTAAAATCATTTCTTCTCTTCCTTGCCTTTCAGTTGTCTTCCCTCACATCGGCAGTGCATCGGAGGAGACAAGGATAGCCATGTCCATCCTCACTACACGCAACCTTTTAGCCGGTCTCATGGGCGAAGAGATGCCAGAAGAGGTCCAATTGTAATGCAGGTCGGACTTAGAAGTACCAATCACTAATTATTAATTTTTATTGTTCTTTATGTTAGTTGTTCCATGTGGTAATAGTGTATTCGAAATATGACCTTCAAATAGTACTTCTGAAAAGAAATTTTGAAAGTTAAAAAAAAAAGGGGATCATGGGGGACTAACAGGCACTGATTAGGCATTGTTTGCTATATAGAAGGCGCAAATAGCTATAACTAGTGCAGTGGGCCTTTAAATACACTCTCACTTATCAATCATAAATTCAACTGGTGAGTAGACTACTGGACACACCTGTATGTGATTCCACAAGATAAGGCCTTCAGGAAACTCGAGTCAGACCCGAGTTCTGTTTGCACAGCTTTGTGATATTTTTATGTTCTTCATACTCCTTATCCTAAAGACCCCTAGCCCATAAAAGAATATGGGGTGATGTTTTTAAAGTTATTTTTATACATTCTAGCTATACACAAATTATATTCTTTTAGGTGATTGGTACATGTACCAGTGAAATGGGCCGTGAGCTACAGGCGTTATCACCGCAAGTGAATTAAATTAGTTGACTTTGCAGCTTAAGGTTTTGTTGTCACTATGAAATGCTGCATTCAACCCAGCAATTATACGGGCATCGTTTCACAAAACCGTCATAAGTACAAGCTCACTGACATTCCACTGAAACACAGTATTTCAATGAGTTATTGTCGAACTTGTACGGTCTTGTGAAATGCTGCCCAGGTATGTAAAATAAAAGTAACAAGTTTTCACTATCAAAGCTCCACACTTAGTGACGGTATTCTATGCGAAGATATTCTTTATATTAAATAAGGCAGTAGAAAAATAGCAGCTGAAAACTATTTATTGCTGATCTGAAGAAAAAGATATGTCTACTTCTTAATTTTCATGAATACTCCAATTCTTTATTGATATGACATAATTTTTTGTAAGCAAATATATGTCATTGTTCAATCTGAGAAAAAGCATACAAACAATGAGAACCTAGGATAATATCTGCTGAGGTGCACACTAATCATGTACAAAATCTAGATAACCCAATGATAAGCATATCTTTTAGAAAAACGGGTCTAAATCCACTACATTTGTGTGGTAATGTCTGCTGTGTTTGTGTATTATTTTTAATTTTCGAAGGCTACCTGAAAGGCTTGTACCCTTTTGTTGTGTATTTATTTCTGCTGGGATTACATCCCAAATCTAAAATAAAATATTTGTTATAACAGGGTAGAACCAGCCAGACACAAAGTGTCGATTGCTCAAATTATTTGTAGGTCTCTAAAGAAATTATATCTTGAGTTTCATTAATTATGAATCCAGCCATTCTCAAGGGCTGCTACAGTAAGACAATTTCCAGAGCTTTGTCTTGTAGAATAAGTTCATCAAAGATAGATCAGAAAAGCGAGGTCATTATTTATCAGGGAGCACTCTATGTGTGTGAGGACACATATTTAATATTTTCTGGACTCGGTCTCTGTAATGGTGCTTGGAAGAGGTAGTGTGTAATTTACCTGTGACGTTAGATGACGATTATAATTAATTTTGTGTGTATACTATTGCATATTCCAGGGAAAATGTACTTTAAGGGCAATTTGCCAGTGAACTCACAAAAAGCCCATCGGTGGAAAAGAGCCTTTGTTAAAAGCAAAGTAACAAAGTTAAACAACAACAAAATCTATATCTGTTGAAGTTGTAGTGCATAAAAGTACTGGATCGACACTGTTCATAATTTTTGTTTTACTTGAAAAGTTATCCTTCTTGGTTTTGTTGTTGAATTGTAACCATGAGAATAATAGTTTCTTTATTTGTAGTTGGTGTTTCTGTTGGTAAACAAAGTAATTGTCAAAGCAGGAATAGCATGTACATGTATTAGAAATAATTAATCATACAGTATACAGAGATATCAATGCTCAAACTCGAGTGGCAGAACTTTTGAAATTTAAAATTTGAGGAGTTTAAATACAATGGGTGGTATTCTCATAAGTTAAGCCGGGACCAAGTCCAGACTAAACAAGAATTTTAGTTCACACTTCTATGGAATGCTAGGTTTCATCTTCCTCCTTCAATATTCATGACAAAGATAATCTACCAAAAACTTTTTGGAAATTCAGTTCATACTCATATTATCTTTTTCTTCCCATTTCATTGCAAAATTAATTTTTTGGAGACTTTTCATTGAAGGATTAAAATAATCTGTACAGGATAAATGAGTTGACAATAGGCACTCCATAAAAGCGTGGACTAACTTAGTACGCGCTACCAGAATACCACCCATTATTTATACCAAAGATGTTTTGCTTGGTGTACACTTGATACATGATACAGTGTGTACATGTAGTAAATAATAGTAATAAAGGTCTTTATCAAAATTACTGTGTTTCGAGTGTCTTCTTTTTGAATGGTAATATAGGTTAAAGGTAATACAAAGTTTTGGGAAATTTTGAAAATTGGGTGGATAGTGAATCTTTAAAATTTTGATATATTTGGATGCCCCTGTGGATGTATTATAAGCACTAAAAAAAATTAACCCCTAAAACACTTCTGTTTTCGAGAAAGATTGAATATAAAAATTTACCGGTGCTCCCGGTAAATGTTGATAAATTTCAAATAGCGCCTACGGCCGTACAATGGTAGCTGCGACCATGAAAATCTCAGAATATGTAGTTGTGATATATAATTTCCAAACGGGAATAGCTAATCGGTCGAATTTAGTCAAGAAACATTGTTTCATAGCTAAATTGGTATCTTGACCTTGAGAGGGAGCTATACAACATAAAGGGTTTATTATTTATAATTTCATAACTTTAGACTCGATTTCAACCGGGACAACGATCAATAAATATTGTAGGAACGCATATGCATCCAATATATTAATTTGAACCAAATTCATGACCCCATACCAAAACTTTGTAATACCTTTAAACACATTAGTTGACAGGAAAGAATCATTTTAGTTCATATTTTTATATGTTTGAGCTGTTGGTTATTACTTTTTGATGGGAACTTTTTTGTGGTGTAATTTGACAAATTAGATTGCCTAAATTTTAGAATCCGTTTTCACAATACTCGTAATACATTTGGGTTATCTTGTGGATTACCTATAAAGTCAAAAGGGCATTGATATTAAGAGAAAATGGTATGTGTAATAGCCATTTCTTATTAAATACCTTACCAAGAACAGCAGAGCAAAGCGCTTTCAGTATTATTTTTACCCAGGTCACTGGATTCAATATCTATTCTGCACTTTGCAGTGCACATGCTCCACTCCCTAGGGAGCATGACAGCTAGTGGCCTTTTTAATGGGTTTGCACATGCTATCACACTGACCTTTGCATCTCCCGGGTAACCATATAGTACCTGGGTGGAGAGGAAATTTTTAAAGTTAAAGATAAGCTTGAGTTCTGGTAGTGATGAAAAATAAATTCTCACAGATTTCAACAAAACTGACACTGAATGTTCAAGATTACAAATAAATGACATGTGCCAAACCATTTTTTGTAGAAAATGTATGTAACATGCTGCTGATTAATGAACACAGAAAGATAAGGAAATCAAAGTAAAAAGGCCCGATACCTTGTGCTTAACACAAGTCACTATGTGGAAATCAGAGTTGTGGTTTTTATTGAAGTTGATTTCCAGCAAGTTTTTGTGAGTTTGTTTTTATTCCACTCGTTCCAACAATCCAGAATAATTTATAGCCATGATCTCTCGACGTACGATTCCCATACCAGAGCTCAAGATTAGCTTCAATTTCTGTATGTAGATATCCATGAAAGTATATCCCTTTATACATGTAAATACCTGTACCTGCATTTCTGTGACACTAAATTCACATTAAACTCGGCGGAGAAATGGACAATAAATCAACAACAAAAAACACAGAAGATCCAAGACTTTTGTGACTTTCAATTTTATTAAATTGCACTCTCCGCTTTCTAAACCCTGTACCTCATGATACACATACATTAAAAATATGTAGCATATAAATTGACTGCTATCTATTCTTTCTTTATATTACAAGCAACAAAAAAGAACAATTACCAATTAAAATGTACTTTCATTTAAAAAGTATTTATACAAAGAAGAGTCTTCCATTTTACTGCAAAAACTTAATTCTAGCATATCTGTTCATGAATTCCTATTTTTTTTAAATTCATTCAATAAAATATATAACTCTCATGCCTCTCCTATCAACTCTACTGTAAATAACTCATTAGTAGTGTGAAGAATATAAAGCACGCATTATGTGTAAGAAATAACTGAAAACTGGCTGTTGTGACAAATAGTGATGAAAAGCGGTAAAAAGCCGCGTTGGCTGAAAATAAGGTTTTTCTAAATTGAAATTTGCAAATGAGGAAAAAGGAGAGGGCCTCAGATATTCAAACATTCTGACAAGAGTTGTTAATATACAAACAAACAAAATTGTATTTTTCTTTTGTAATGCTTGATATCAGTTCAGACTGTAAATAAATAAGCTCTGAATAAGGATGTCTCACTCAATCTCACACCCCTCTACAGAACTAAATATATAAGAGGTTGACAAGTCAATAAGGTAATAATAGAAATGACAAAATGAGAGATAGAGAGAGAGAGAGAGAGAGAGAGGGGGGGGGGTGGTGGTGGTGGTGCTTATATGTACATCCAGAGAGCAGATAGAAATAAGTAATGAGTTAGGAAAGGAGAGACAGCACTATATACGAAGAAACAAGAAAGAGAGAGTACGTCGAAGGGTAAATTTACTCTTCACCAAATACTGCATATATTTTAAAGTAGGCCGGCATGTACTTCATTGGCTTCTTTTAAAAGTTTGCAATAATTCCAAATTCAAAAGTGCAATTCTAAAGTTATCTGTTGACATTTGAAATGGCATGAGATATTTGAAGGCACAGTGTGGTGCGATCACAGTGAAATGTTTGTGAGAGTTGAGGCTGGTCTTCGTGAATACATGAATATATAATCTCCTTATGTAACTTTCATATATATAAACACATATACAGTATTCCTCTTCCGTGTACTAAATATTATAAAACTACTCATATTCCAGATTCAATGTTTCATGTTAACAACAACGACTTAGAAATGTAAAAGTTAAAATAATAAGAAATAGATTTTTTCCCTTCATTTTCATGCTTGATAATGTAAAAATTCGTTAAAAGGGATATAAGTTACATCTACATACTATGTACATGCCCATGTTATGGCAATTAAAAATATTAAAAATATATTTTTAATAATTTGAATATATAGCGAGGCACGATGGCTCAGTGGCCGGTAGAGCAGTGGTTCGTAACTGGGAGGTTCCGGATTCAAAACCAGGTTGATGCGCTAGAGCCCTTTGATATAAAAGCATTAATCCTCATTACCAGAGAGGACTTAAAGCCATAGGTCCCCTGGGTGCTTACTTTTAATACATGCATACGCAGGCTTTCTTAGCAGTAGGGTTAAACAAACAAACAAAAATAACATATACATTGAGTACACTTACATGCATGGACACACATACAGAAAAATGTTCTGACAAAAGATTCTTTGAGTTAAATATTTTTCCCTCGGTAAGATAATGGTATGAACTCTTGGCATTAACTGGCTTGACATTTCATACTACCGTAATTAACGTTGTATAAACTGCCCTCGTGTATTAACCGCACCCCTCTTTTTCGCTGACTTTTTTTTTTGCCGACTTTCTTTTTGCCGACTTAAAAAACAGTAGAGGACCTAGGATAGAACCTTGTGGTACGCCGTGTAATAGAAGAAAAATTGGAGGAATTATTATTATAAACTACATATTGAAATCTATCAGAAAGATTACTTTCAAACCAAGATGACAGACAAATTTGAGCGTTGTTCTAGTTTCCAAGTGGTGAGTCAACACACCGATTACTGAGCTGGGAGACATTGCCAGGCATAGTGCCAGGTGGAGGGGAATGAATTGAAACTTTTTTTTTTTTGTGTACCGTGTATAAACGGCACCCCCGACTTTGAATTTTTTCGGCGGCAAAAAAGGTGTGGTTAATACACCGTTAATTACCGTAACTTCTTGGCTATAAATAGTTCCAATGGAATTTTAAAAATTGAATAAAGGCAGTACTATATAGATAACATAACACCCTCTCCCACCATACAGGTACTCATTAGACATTCAAAATCTCTGCTATATAGTTTCAAATGTGGGCCGAAATGAAATAACTTCATTTACCTTTGCTAACGTATTTCATTTCAATCAATAATTAGTTTACAACAAGTAAGAATGGAATACATACAGTGAAATTAATGTTCGAATTTGCCTTCATTGTTTACGAATAAGGAAAAAAATAATGAGGAATGATTTTCTTGGTACAGTACTAACAAGAAAAGACTTTGTGGCAGGTTCATTCCACAATCAGAATAATACATAAAATAATTTTAAAAGAACATTATATTTTTTCTTTTGATTAGATGAAACTTACTAAAACACAATTATACTGGTTTTGTTTTATAAAAGCTAAAAACATCCCAAAGTGTACAGATTTTTGTTGTTTTTGTTTTAGTATAAAAAAGAAGGAACATATTTATGTACATGATATGCTATTGGGTGATGATGTAATGATTTATTATTCCATTAAAGAAACCAAAATCATAATTTAAAATTCATAATAAAAACAAATTAAATCATTTTACAATATCTTAATTTAAACCATCATTAAAAACAATTAAAGAAAAACATAATTACTGTTACATCATATTTACATTGTTTATTTACGAGTGTGCCCATCCCCAGATAAAAATAAACTGAGAATAAAAAGAAGGTAGGATGAACAAGACTTGCCCAAAAAGGTGGGGCAAAGAGAACTAGTATCAGTACTTGGAG